CCACATCTCCAATGCTGGACCCCCAGCAGGGCCAAGAGGCAGGGGCAGGGGCAAGGCTTGTTGCCACCTGTCACAGGTGAGCTACCTGATGTCCACGCAGGTGTGGTCTCCTGTCTCAAGTTACGCTGGCCACCCGTGTCCCTCGGGGTTCCTCTGCAGGCGCCTGGGAGTAGGAGGGATACTCTCCTGGGGGGGTTCCTGGGGTGATGGACAGTGAACTGGAAGTGTTGGGCAGAAACACACGGGGTAATAGTCTCCAGCACCTTCCTCGCTGCCCCTACTGCCTGACCCCCAGGAAAGGCCACAGGTAAGGGAGAAGCAAGAGAGCCCAGCTCGAACCTGGCCTTGGTCTCTACTAAGTGATCTTGAGCAAGTGTTTCCTTTTTGGGGGGCCTCAGTTTCCCTGAGTGTCAGTGGTTAGGAAGGCGGTTGCCCGGGACTTGTGTACCGCTATATAAACTAAAATTGACTGCCTCTAAGCCTTTCTAAATACTGGCAAATTTTCTAAAAACCCATGGATGATTTCTTAATCTACTTAAGGAGAACCTTTACAGAGGAGAAACCTGGCAGACAGCCTCTCCCCTGCTGATAAGTGTTCCCATCACCTGCCTGAATCCAGCTGTGGGGAAATGGCATTCTAACCTACCCTGAGGGACAGTCGGTAAGGTGACTGGCCTGCAGTATTCAAAACCGGCAGGGGCACAAAAGATGAAGAGAGGCTGATGAAACCTTGCCTATTAAAAGAGTCTGAAGTGACAAGACAAGGGATTGCAACACATAATCTTGGGCTGAATTATGGACCAGGAAAACAATGGTGATTGTGATACTTGTTGAAATTTGAATACGCATCATTAGATAAAAAAGTATTGTATTAATATTGGGGCGCCTGGGGGGTGCTCAGTGGTTGAGCCTCCGACTCTTGATTTCAGCTCAGGTCATGATCCCAGGGTCCTGGGATGGAGTCCCATGTCCGGCTCCTTGCTCAGCGGGGAGCCTGCTTCTCCCTCTCCCTCTTCCTGCTTGTGCTCTCTCTGTCAAATAAATAAATAAAATCTTTAAAAAAAGTATTGTATCAATATTAAACATCCTGAATTCAATGATTGCACTGTGGTTATGTATCAAATGTATGTGAAGTGTTTCAGGGTTGAAGAGCCATGATGATTACAAATGGTTTTATAATAAGAATACAGAGAGAGAGGTGAATGTCAAATGAGGTGAATGTTAATACCCAGTGAGCCTGCTGAGGCTACGTGGGTGTTGATTGCTCTTCTTTCTTTCTTTTTTTTTTTTTTTTAAAGATTTTTATTTATTTATTTGAGAGAGAGACTGAGAGAGAGCATGAGATGGGGGAGGGTCGGGAGGGTCAGAGGGAGAAGCAGACTCCCTGCCGAGCAGGGAGCCCGATGCGGGACTCGATCCCGGGACTCCAGGATCATGACCCGAGCCGAAGGCAGTCGCTTAACCAACTGAGCCACCCAGGCGCCCGATTGCTCTTATTTCAATAAAACGTATTTTAAATTATAGTGGAAAGATACATTCAGGTGCTCTGGACTGCTGCTCAATGTTCACATTATATACACTTTATATACACATCCCATATTTTCACCACACCCTGGGTACTACCATTCCCGACTTTATAGGAAAGGAAACAAGCTCAGGGATCAGCAGTTTGCTGGGGACCACTTAACCAGTATGTGGCCAGCCAGGATTGGAGCCCAGGGCCACCCTCTGGCTGAGGCGTGGGGTTTCGCCACCTTCCCTGTAGCTCCTGCCATGCTCAGCCCCCAGGGCCAGGCCATGCTGTTCCTTGCTTGCAGACTTTGCACTTGCTATTCCAGGCTGTTCTCTCTGCAGGAAAGTCCTCTCTCCTTCCCGCCCTCTCTCGCACCCTTCAGGTTACTTCCAGGAGCTCTTCTTAGATTCCCCAGCCTCAATCAGATCCCCTGGGCACTGTACCCCACTTCTCAGAGTGCTCACTGCACTTGTAATTAGTTGTCCAATGTCAGCTTCCCCCTGAGCACGGGGACAGGGCCTGTTTTGTTAACTGCTGTAGCCCCAATGATGAGCACAAGAGTCACTCAAGTATTTGCTGGACTGCATTAAATTAAAAGGTGTCAGGATCCCTAGAAAAGCTGCCACTGGAGGAAACAGGAATGATCAGAACAGAAAAAAGGACATCAGGGGAAAAACTGAGGAAATCCAAAGAAAGCACGGACTTTAGTTAATAACAATGTATCAATATAGGTTCAGTTGTGACAAATGGACCCCAGCCATGCTAACCGCGGGGGAAACTGGGCGTGGGGTATACGGGGACTCTCTAATATGTCACAACTTTTCTATAAACCTGAGATGATTTTAAATAGTGTATTAAATATTTTTAAAAGATATTTTGAAAATTAAAAGGATTTGGGAGGTCAGTATTTGTAGACGTGAAATAATCGCTCAGGTCTATTCTAAGGGGCAAAAAGCATGGTGCAGAAAAGGAAAGGCTCTTTATGCATGCTCGCTTCCACTTGCAAGTCAGCAAAGTATGTTCTGGGCCAAATTTGGTTTGTTTGTTTGTCATATTTTGGGGGGGCCAAATTTGGCCAGCCACCCGTTTCTGTGTGACCTCAGAGCTAAGAATGGTTTTCACATTTTCAAATGGCTGAAAAAAATATGAAAAGATGAATACCATTTTGGGACTCATGAACATGATATGAAATTCAAATTGCTGTGTCCGCCAATAAAGTTTTATTGGAACACGGCCACACACATTCATGTATGTCTTATCTGTGGCTGCTTTCCTGGGGCAACAACCATAAGCTTGGCCATCCCTGGAGAGCGAGATGAGAAATCCCTAACAGTGGTTTCCTGTAGGATGGAGAACAGATTGGATGGGGAGGCGGGAGGAGCGGTTGCTGGATGTGTGTTTGATTTATGCTTAAAAATCTAATTATTCACCAAAAGAAATTTTGGGAAGGAAGGTGGGCTTCTCAGGGTTCATGGGATGGGGGTTGAGACATTTTAAGTAGAAAGGATGATGCCCGAAGGCATTTTAGGTATCCGTTATTTTCCTGTGTAGAAGCGTTTTTCAAAGCTTGGTCTGATCATGGTGGGTCAGAGTGCCTTTTCCTCCTGGAAAGGGAACTCCCCCAGGATCTACACTCAACTTCGCACGGTCCCCAGTATACTCACGAGGGCAGCCCTGGGTGGAGCCGGCTCCGACCTGCTTGATTGTTTGTTAATCCTTGGGTGTAATCAGGCCAGTCTGGTGGTGTCCAGGTGCCCCCAGATTATATTTGCTGGGAGAGAAAAGTAGGCAGGAGACAAACTGCCCAGGCAGGGGAGCAGGAAGACTAATAATAATGTTACAACGTGGCTGTTTATTAAATGCATGGGGATACATAGCCCAGGAGCCGTCCCTCCGTCCCTGACATGTGGCAACCATATTTTCCTGGCCCAGCGCTGGGACGTGCAGACTGGCAGAGAGCATTCCATTTCTTTTAATACCTTTGAAAGACCTTCTGATTTGTGAATTTCTTTAGGGAAGGCTACGTTTAGTTGCACATTTTAATAAAGGCAGTTCATGAAAATAATAAAAGTACATGAAACCAGGACCGGCCGGGCAACCTGCACTTGCCCCCTCATAAAAGGCTAATATCCCGGAGCTGCCTTATAAAGCCTGCTCCATCCCGTCCTGACCAGGGTCTCTGTGTGCAGAAAACAACCCCCTAATTGTCATTTAATTAAACAGCACTTTCATGAATATCAATAAATATCTGTTGAATAAACGAATGACATCGAAACACAGTGACCCCTTCAATCATCTACTCTAGGTGTGAGGGTACATTTTACATGTGTATGTGTGCTTTCCTCCAATGGACTTTCTGCAAGAGGTGGAGAGGGTGCAATTCGATCTTCCAGGTAACCTACTATAAAGCAAGTAAATCCTCATGGGGGGGGTCGAATAGTGTCCCCCAAAGAGATATACCCCATGCCCTAACCACTGGAACCTAAGAATGTGACCTTAGTTGGAAAGGTTCTTGCAGATAGAAAGTTAAGGATCTTGAGATGATTTGAGATGGACTCTAAATCCAGCAAGAGAAAGGAAAGGGAAGTCGATTGGATTCACACCTAGGGAAGAAGGCATATTAACAGGAGGCAGAGACTGGAGGGATGCAGTCACGAGTCAAGGGAAACCTGGGGCCATCAGGAGCTGGATGAGGCAAGGAAGGACTAGAGACTACCAGGAGAGTGCAACCCTGATGACACATTGATTTGGGGCTTCTTGCCTCCAGTACTGTGAAAGAATGCATTTCTGTTGTTTAAAGTCACTGAATTTCTGGTAATTTGTCACAGCAGCTGTAGGAAACCTAGAACTGCATAATATTACTTAATAGGTAACCGTTCTGTGCCTTTGAGCAAGTTGCCTTGCTCTGGTTCCAGTCGACTCGCGGGCAAAACAGAGACATCTCCCCATCTCTGAAAGGGAAGCAAGCATCCCTAGTCCTTCCTCCCCTCTTAGGGCTGTTTTAGAACTCAATAATAAAATAAAATAGAGGGGCGCCTGGGTGGCTCAGTCGTTAAGCGTCTGCCTTCGGCTCAGGTCATGATCCCGGGGTCCTGGGATCGAGCCCCACATCGGGCTCCCTGCTCGGCGGGAAGCCTGCTTCTCCCTCTCCCACTCCCCCTGCTTGTGTTCCCTCTCTCGCTGTGTCTCTCTCTGTCAAATAAATAAAATCTTTAAAAAAATAAAATAAAATAGAGAAGGAGGCTAAAACGGCTTCCAAGCGTTTGCAGGATTCAAACACCCCGCCCGGCACATGCAAACCCTCCCCAACAGTAGGAACCAGCGCCCCCTGCCGCCTGCGCCGCTGCATTGGTTTCTCCGGGCAGGGCCAAGCAGCCTGCGCTTGCGCAGAAGGCAAGCGCTCAGGCCCACCCCTTGAGGGGTGTGGTGTGATTTCCTTGGGTCGCTTTGGTTCGGCCACGCCTGCTTCCGGAGGGGGCGGGCTGACGTCTGGAGCACGTGATCTTGTTCCGGCTCGCCAAAGATGGCGGCCCCCAGAGCGGGAGCGTGGAAGTTGGTGAAAGACGCTGCCCACCCGCGCTGGAATTGAAACTGTGGGGACTGTGCGCCATGTCGCGACTGATCGTGAAAAACCTCCCGAATGGGGTGAGTGCAGGGCCTGGACTTGGGAATCTGAAATTGGGACCAGCCAGGAGCTGGGGGCTAGGAAGGAGATGGCTGGAGAGAATTGAGGGGCTTTGGCCCTGGGGCAGGACTCAGGGCGCATTCGAAACCCTAAAGGGTCAGGATCCTCGGCAGATCCCCATTTGACAGTTGGGAGAGGGAGCTGGTGATCGATCAAGGGTTCACAGCCGGCCCGAGGGTACCTGACTTCATCCCGACAAGTCTCTTCCAACACCCCACACGTGTGCTGAATGCTCTTTCCCACAGCCCCTCTCATACGAGCACGTTTGTTGTTGTTGTTGACTCGTCACTGGATCAGACCCTGCACTTACATTCCTCTACCGCTCGGGAGCCTTTTGGAGAGGCAAATGGGGAGTATTAGGTTGAGGACCTGCGTTTCGATCCCCACTCCCGCCTTTAGGGCCCGTGGCCATAATATAAGAAAACCGAGTGCGTGTGAAGGGCTTTAAATCATTTATCCAGTAAGTGGGGAGGGTGACCCAGTCATACTTGTCTCTGTTTCCCAAGAGACCAGCACAGAACCTGGCACGTGGTAGGCATTCAGTAAAAACATGTGGAATGAATGAATGAAGAAGTAGCTGGATGTGTGTGGTGTCAGATGACTGGAGGCAGTGTGCCGGCGTGGTTCATCCTTACCGGTTTTACTAGAGCTTTGGTTTGGGTGGAGAGCTCCCACACCATTGGTGTGGCCAGTAAGCTCATTCCCAAAATACAAAACGTGCCCTTTGGATGGGATGAGAGATCTTCTGTACTCTTGACTCTTAACTCCTCAGGAGCTTCTCTTTAGAAGGAGTGATAACACAAAGCTCTTTCTGCTTTATAGTGGTTTTTTAACTTTTCTCTCCCTTCAGTGGGTTGTGGGAGAGCTATGACAGGATTTTAAGAATTCAGGCACTACCAAAAAAAAAAAAAAAAAAAAGAATTCAAACAGTACGGTGGTGTATGAAATGAGAAGCAAAGTCGTTTGCTCCATCCTACCCTCTGTCTCTCTCCAGGAGTAATCATCTTCAGTGGTTTGTTTTTAGGACTCCTCATAGGTATTACTCCATGTCTAAATGGTGTGCTTTCTCCTCCATTTCTTGGTCTATTTACCCCAGTGACTGTGCTGACCCTCCCCCATGAAAGATGAGGAACCCCGATCATCTGTTCTTCCCTTCCTATCTGTTATATTATTATTTTTAATTCTTCCATTATTTACCCCAAAGAGTAAACTTTCAAAATACATATTGATCCATCCACCTGCTTTAGGCAGTGTCTTTTGAGGCCTCACTTTGATGGATGAGGATTTTAGCGTGGCTACCCTGTCTTCCCCTCCCACTTCCATCTCATTGGGCTTCTTTCCTCATTGGACTGACTCTCTTACCATTGCTTGTCTTCTCTGGTGAATGAAAGAATTGATGAAAAAAACAATAGTAGTAGCAGCTAACATTTTGAGAGCTTACTATGTATCAGGCACTGTACCCGTTGCTTTTGGTAAAGTAACTCATTTAATCCGCAGCAGAACCCTACAAGGTAGGTTCCATTATTGTGTCCATTTTAAAGGTGAAGAAACTGAACTGCAGCAAGGGGGAAGTGACTTGCCTGAGGTCACGCACAACTGGTAATTCATAGAGCAGGGACTGAATTGAACAGTCTGCTTCTAGAATTTGCATTCCTGACCCCTACAGCCTACTGTCTCTCTTTGCATGCTAGCATGCACTTTTCTTAACTCTTTTCCAACATGTATTTAGTAGTGAGTACTCATTATGTTGCTGACCTTGTAGACAGTGGGGGATAAGACTGAGCTCCCACCTTTACAGCATTTACAGTCTAGCAGAGGACTTGGACACCAGATCACTGTGATGTAAGGGGCAGGGATTGAAGCATGACCCAGTGCTGTGTGAGCACAGAGGGCTCGGTTACCTGACCCACCTGAGGAGTCCAGGAGAGGCTTCCTGGGGGAGTTGATTGAACTGAGAATGAGGAGGCGTTAGCCCGGGCCTGCTGGAAAGATTTCACCCAAAGGAGACAACTAGTAAAACCTCAGAGGTGAGAAGCAGGGAAGGCTGCAAGGACTTTGACAAGAGATGGTGCTGAAGGGGTGGGTCAAGCCAGATCATGGAGAATCTTGCATTTTACCCTAGCTGCTTATTCTTGAGCCTCTGGCATTAGAAAGTCACCAAGAGGTTCTTAACAGAGGAATGATGGGGTCAGACTTGAATGTGGTTGCTCCCATGTAATGGGGAAGATGAAGTCACTGCCTTTTATGTATCTGAGCTGAGTTACAGATCTTGATTCTGTAGATCATTTATCCTGGATGAGCTTCATTTTCTTCTCCATAAAATGTGGATAATAATTCCTAACTCATAGGGTGATACGAGATTTTAATGATCAGAGTTATTAAAAACCTGCCGCAGAAAGCATGTTTTTCCTTCCTATGGGGCTGCCAGGGTCTCTAGTGTCTTGAATTTCAGACCTTGTTTTGGCTATTTGTGGCATTCTTGATGTCCCAACTACTACCCACACACACATCTCCCAGTAACAGCTTCGAATACTCACTGAGGTGTGCACGTAGTCTGGCTGGAATGAGGATGGGGGGATGCCAGGAGCCAGTTTCCACACTGTAAGAAATTACCTCAAACTTAGGGGCTTAAACAATACACATTATTATCTTACAGTTTTGGAGGGCAGAAATCCTAAAATCAAGGTGTTGGCAGGGCTGCCTGCCTTTTGGAGACTCTAGGAGAGAATCTGTTTCCTTGCCTTTTGTAAGTTTCTCGAGGCTGCCTGTGCTTCTTGGCTTTTGGCCACGTCCTGAAGGATCAGAGCCAGCAGCATGGCATCTTGCAGTCTCTTTTCTGTCTCCACCATCACATTGCCTTTTTCTGGCCCTGACCCTTCTGTTTCGCTTATATAGTGGGACTGGACATTGGATCTGCCCAGACGATCCAGGATAACTTCCCCATCTCAAGATCCTTCATGTAATCACATCTGTGAAATGCCTTTGGCCACGTACAGTCACAGGCTCACAGGTCCCAGGGATTCAAATGTGGTCGTCTTTTGGGGTACTTCAGTATTCTCTCTACCACAGTGAGCAAACACGTGTAACTTACCACATTCATTCGTTCATGTGTTTATTCTGACATTATCAGGTATTCACTGTGGAGGAGCCACGGTGCTGGCCTCCTTACATAGTAGGTCTCCTTATCCTTCGAACAGCCCATAGAGTAGGACGATTTCATTGCAGCCATCCTGAGTCTTGATTTCCCCGTCCACGAAGCAAGCTAGTCCGTGTCTGAGCCAGAGCTGGGGCCAGGTCCCACTGCAGAGCACACTCTGCCCTCGCCTTGTCTGAGTTTGCGCTTGGGGAATCCCGGGGCCTGGGGTTTCCAGCCCGTTTCTGTCCCCTTGGCTCTGAGGGCTCCCCTGCTCCTCCCTCACTGCGCCCCTTCTGTCGTAGATGAAGGAGGAGCGTTTCAGGCAGCTCTTTGCCTCCTTTGGCACCCTGACGGACTGCAGCCTGAAGTTCACCAAAGATGGCAAGTTCCGTAAGTTTGGCTTCATTGGCTTCAAGTCGGAGGAAGAGGCCCGGGTGGCCCTGAACCATTTCAACAAGAGTTTTATCGACACATCCCGGATCACGGTGAGTTGGTTTCTGCCCGCCTGTGGAAACAGACACACCTTGATCCAGTCCGGAGCCAGTCTGTATCCGAATCCCCTGGAGAGCTTGTTCAGTTTCTGACTCAGTGTGGGGCTGGGGTGGGACCCAAGGATACGCATGTCGGAAAGCTCACAGGTCAAGTCAGTACTGGGCCCTCAACACACTTGGACAAGCACTCGTTCAGACACCAGGGGAGCACCCACGACGTGCTGGGGATTTAGAGAAACGTGGTGCCCCTGGCCCTGTCCTCCTGGGGCCGGCAGGTGACTAGGCTGCTGTCACCGGGTGTTGTCAGGACTGTGATGGGGAAGCTCCAGGGACTGCTGGAGAACAGAGGAGGCCCACGTCCTGGCCCCGGAGGTGTCGGGAGAGCTTCCCGAAGGACGAGGTCCTGTTTGTGTCACTCGTGTACATTTAATGACTCAGTCAAACATCCTTAACGCTTGGTTGAGAAGAGAAAACCAGATGTTAGACAAGTATTTATCACATGACTCCATTCATACAGAACCATATTTCTTAGTCTCTGTGTATGTGAAACATAGAGCTATTTTACCAAAACATTAGTTTCTCTCTCTGGGTGATAGGAATTGGGGTAAAAACATTTTTTTTTTTCACTTTCCTTGTAAGTTGTTGATTTGAGTTTTATACACTGAGCGCATATCATTGCTACAGAAACAGCAGAATTATTTTCAAAGTCCGTAGAAAGGGGTGTGGCAGGGGGACAGCCCCCCCTCCCCCCAGGGGTAGAGACGGCTCAGGCGCCCCCAAGTGTGGCAGGAAGTGCAGCCCATCTCAGGAGTGTGTTGGTGGGAGACGTGTCAGCTCAGGCCTGACACTGAGCACATCTGGGCTTCCGAGTGGCCACCCGCCTCTCTCATCACCCCGGAGCCGTTCTGGGGCCAGCGAGCTCGCTCCGCAATAGTAACAGTGATTTCGGGAGCCGTTAGCTTCATCTTGCCTCATGCCAGACCCCATGTCGGCCAGCCTGGGGGCTGGGTGGCTAAGAACTAGGGCTGTAGAGCCAGACCCCCCGAGTTCCTGTCCCCACTCTGTTACCTTCTCCCTGGATTGGGACAAGCAGCTTCACTTTGCCAATCCGGGAAGTGGGAAGGGTGGTGGTCCCCCCCAACCCCACTGTTTTGGAGGCTCAGGGTCGTCCTGCTCGCAGAGCACTCAGACTGTCTGGTGGGTGGAATTGGTTGCTAAGTGTAGCAACTGGAATGACTTCAGGGAGGAGAAAGCAGAGGCCTGACCCCTGGACAGTAGGAATTTGAACTGCGCAGGCCCGCCTATACACAGATTTTTTCCGTGAACACAGTACAGTATCCTAAATGTATTGTTTCTTACGATTTTCTTAATACGTTCTTTTTCCCTAGTTCATTTTATTGTAAGAATACAGTGCATCATACATATGACGTACAAAATACGTGTTAATCAACTGCTCTCGGTAGGGCTTCTGGTCAGCAGGAGGCTATTAATAGTTAGGTTTGGGGGGCAGTGGAGAGTTACACACAGACTTTCCATTACACAAGGGTCAGTGCCCCTAACTCTGTGTTGTTCAAGGGTCAATTGTAATTTGCTTTAACTGGCTCAGCTCGTAAGTGGCAGCTGCCTTTTTAGAAAGCCTGGCTCCCAGGTGCTGAGGGGTAGCACCCGGGCTGGGCTGGCGGCAAGTGCCCCCATCACCCTCTCTCTCCCATGCAGGTGGAGTTCTGCAAGTCGTTTGGGGACCCAACAAAGCCCCGAGCCTGGAGCAGACACGCTCAGCAAATAAACCAGGCTAAGAATCCTTCAAAAGACAAAGACTCCGTCCCCACAGAACCCAAGAAAGTGCGTAGAAGGTCACTCCCACCTGCACCCCACGTGTCAGCAAGGTGGTCACCCCGGGGAGGGGGGGGCGGGCAGGGCAGATGGTTCCAGAAGGCGGACCCTCCCTAGGCAACGTGTCTGTCTCCTCTCACCATCTGTGCCTTCTGTTCGCAGGATGACAAGACGAAAAAGGTATCAAGTGAACTGGAGAAGGTGAGTGTGTCCTGTGGGCCAAGAGGGAGGGTACCCAGGACGGCGCTGGAAGGGCTGTGGCAGGCTCTGAGGGCTTGCAGCGCCGGCAGGCAGAGCTGGGCCTCTTGTCCCCCTGCCGCGCCTCTGTGGCTTCTTAGTCTCCTTGGCTGATGATGAGTGCAACCAGCTGATCCCAGGGGTCCTCTAGAGACCAGGAGACATGAGCTCAGGGATACTCTCACGGGGGGGTGGGTTTGTCAGGATGGTGTGCCCTGGCTGAGCCTTCTCTCCCCGCCTCCCTGGGGCCACCAGCTGAAGGAGGACACCGAGTTCCAGGAGTTCCTGTCCGTGCACCAGAAGCGGACGCAGACAGCCACATGGGCCAATGACGCCCTGGACGCCGAGCCCTCGAAAGGGAAGAGCAGGGCCGCCAGTGACTACCTGAACTTCGACTCCGACTCCGGGCAGGAGAGCGACGAGGAGGGTGCTGGTGAGGACCCAGAAGGTGAGGGCATCCATGCGCACCCTCCCTGCCAGAGTGCACAGCCCTTTGTGTGTCCCGGCCTGGGCGGCCGTCACCTGGGGCCCCTCGGTGCCAGGCACGGGAGGCGACGTGAGAGACACTGTCCTCTCTGGGGGTGATTATTCCACCCAAGATCTGCCCTGACCCATCCTGGTTACAGTCAGTCAAATGTTTATTGAGCACCTGCTGAATGCCAGGCACTTCTTTGGGCATTGAGGATATAGCAGCAAAAGATAGAAGAATCCCGCTCGCGTGGAGCTGTCATTCTAGTCGGGGGAAAGAAACAATGCAAAATTAAGTCCCCAGTTAAGGACGATATCTAAAGAGGAGCGCCACAGTGAGAAAGCAGGGAAGGGGAGTAGGAGAGCTCCCGGGGAAGGCCTCCAGGGAGGGGGCCCTCGAGTAGAGGCCTGCAGGCGGGGAGGGAGGGGGCCTCTGTCCTCAGAAGGGGCTCACAGCATAGCGTGGGGGCAGATGGGAACGGGAGTGTTTGCAGTCCAGAGAGGTCACTGTGCTGGTTGTGGGTCAGGCATCGATTTTGCTCAAAGGCGAGAGAATAGATTGAATGTGAATTTTATGCCTGGTAAAGTTTCTGGGCAAAACTGGGGTCTGGAGGACTCCTCGGGAGTGGGTGGGATACAGCAGAGAAGGGGATAGGAAGGGGGCGTCGCAGGCAGAGGGAAGAGCGTGGCGGGGGCACGGGGGAAAGGGAAGCATAGGTGTTTGAGGGGGCCTACGTGGTTCGGGGTGGCTGCAGAGGAGGAGGTAGAGCTGGGGGAGAAGCCAGTCAGCTCATGCCAGCCTGACGAGGAGCGTGGGTGTCCTACAAGCATCTGGAAACCACCGGAAGGTCATAGGCAAGGAGTGACCATCCTGTCTGTACTCTCAACATGATCACACAGGCCGCAGTTGAAAGAGCAGATTGACAAGGGCAAGGCCGGTGCGGGGAGCCACGCAGGGAGCCACGTAGCTCTCTGGACTTGTGGTGTGTGAAATGCCACAACTCCCCACAGGTACACCCTGTTGAACGTTACATATCAGACGACCCACCGGGGCTGCTCGGTGGCTCTGCCCTGCTGTGCCCTCTGCCATTCCAGGCCTCTGCTTTGCCCACGACCATCCCTGACTCTTAGCCTCCCGTTTTTGCAGAGGAGGAGGGCCTCGAACCCAGGGCAGCCGTGCAGAGGGAGCTGTCGGACATGGATTACCTGAAATCCAAGATGGTGAAGTCCGAGGCGCCATTGTCCTCGGAAGAGGAGGAGAGTGAAGATGAAGCTGTGAGCTGTGGGGACGGGAGTGGGGCCGAGGAGGAGGCCCCCGGCCCTGCGCCCGCCCATCAGGACAGAGGGAGGCCGGGGGCCGGCCCGGAGCAGGGCGCCCCGTCCGGGAACGAGACACCGGGGGCGGCCAAAGCTGAGGTGTGTGCATGGGGGTGCGTGCTGGTGCTTGGGGGGCATGGGGGGAGCAGCTGCCCTTATCCTCACCCACGGTCCCTGCGGCCGCTTTGCTAGCAAGAGTGTGTCAGAAGGGAAAGACAGAGCTCTGCAGCCCAGCGACCTGCCTTCAGCTCTCAGCCCTGCCATGTGCGTGCTGTGTGACCTTGGGCAAGCACCTCTCCCCTCTGAGTCTGCCTTGCAGAGCCACGGGGGGGTGACCGAGCTGCACGAGGGGCAGGAGCGTGTGCTGCTTTGTGTTAGTAACAGGGTAGGCAGGTGTGAGCCACGATGGACGGTAGTAGAGGGAATTAACTGAGTGCTTCCTCGTGCTGGGTAGAATGGCTGCTTTGTTATTTGTCATTAAATCTTAGGACAGCCTTCCAGGGAGTGGGGGTGTGCAGGGATTCTTGTCCCATTTTACAGGGGAGGAACCTGAGGCCCCGTGAAGGGAAGTGACTTGCCCAAGGTCACGGCTGGGAAGTGCTGAGGTCAGGACTCGACCCGGACCCGCTGGGCTCTGAAGTCTCCATTAGAGATGTGTGTGCTCCCTTCGGGGACAGGCACGCTGTCTCCCGCCCGGGCATCCTCTGCTTGGAGACAGGGCAGGTCGTGTTTGGGTCCCTATTCCCTCACCTCCCTCTTTCCCACCCGGCCCTCTTCAAGGCTCCAAACATCATCGCCCTCTTTGCTCTTTCCTCGTCCTCCTCACTCCTTGACTTACGGCCCCTTCTCATGCCCATACCCTGTCCTTTTCTCCTAAAAGTGTATATTCCAGAGAGGTAGTCGAGTATGGCGAAGTCAGAGAGCTCTGGGTTCAAATCCCAGCTCTGACACAGAGGAGCCATGGGGCCTGGGGTGAGGTGCTGCCCCCCATCTAAGATGACGCTCAGCATGGCAGTGGCCTCTGTGGCCGGTTTCCGAAACCCCTGTGCCTAAGCACACGCTGGCGCTCACAGTTTCCGAGTTCAGGAAGATACCTCGATGCCTCGTGCGCTGTGGCACCCCCTGTGGGCTCTGGGGCAGCACCGCATAATCAGGCACATGTCTGTTCATGTCTGTTTCTGCAGTGAAACCAGGAACGACCACTCAGCCTACAAGGGGTAAAGGCAGACGGTATATTGCCTCACATCAGCTCAGAGCAGATTTTGATGGCCAGTGACTTCAAGTCAGAGCAACTTTTGTTGCCAAAGGAATTCTAGAAAATTTAGATGTTTCTTTCCAGGCCTATTTAGATTCAGAATTACAAAGAAGATCCTGAACCCATAATCCTCTAAGGTTGTTTTGAAGATTCAGTAGGATAGCAGCATTTACAAAGTGCTTTGGACGAGTGTCTGGCCCAGAATTAAGCCCTAAATCCACGGTAGCGAATGTCAGGATATCTCAAGGCTGCATCCAGGGCTCCCTGCCCCTCCTTGTAGCCTGAAGCCCCTGTTAGCACACCCTTACCTCCGCCTCCAGCCAGACTGCACACCATGGCAGGCATGATGCTGCTCAGCATTCCCCGGCTTCCCCTGGCCGCAGGTGCCTCACTGAGATGTCTGGCCCTGCCTCCTCCTGCAGCTGTACCAAGGAACTCACTGGGGCCACTTCTGTTTCTTCACCATCATGCAGGCAGACAAACCGGCAAACCAGAAGGAACCCACCACCCCCTACACTGTGAAGCTGCGGGGAGCCCCATTCAGTGTCACGGAGGTATGACCAACAATGCAACAAGGGCAAGGAGAGAGACCCCGGGAGAAGAGGAGGCAGGGATGAGGATGCCGGGAGGCTCTGCTGCATGGGGACTTTAGGATCGTTGAGGACTTGATCTGGAAGGAATTGGGATCAGAAAGGCAAAGTAAGATCTCAGGCAACGTCAGGGTCAGGAAACAGAGATGGCTCTACAGAGACCAAGAAAGACTGGTTTCACTCCCTGGTCCTGTACGTTAGGAGTGGCAAACACTCTCTGTTAAAAATTTTTAGGGGTGCCTGTGTGGCTCAGTTGGTTAGGCGTCCCAACTCTTGGTATCAGCTCTGGTCGTGATCTGAGTCGTGAGATCAAGCCCTGTGTTGGGCTCCACGCTCAGCATGGAATCCGCTTGAGATTCTCTCTCTCCTTCCCTGCCCTTCCCAGCCCCTTACCCGCCATGCTCTTTCTCTTTCTCTCTCAAAAACAAGAAAAATTTTTTTAAAGGATGAGCTGGTAAATACGTAGGGCTTTGTGATCAATATGGACTCTGTTGTGACTACTCAACCCTGGTTGTAGCACTGTGGCAGCCCTAGACAGTAGGTACACAGATAGGCACGGTTGTGTGCCAATAAAACTTTATTGACAAAAACAGACCACGGGCCACATTTGGCCCACATACTGTAGTTTGCTGACTCTGGGTTTACACAGCAGAGAAATTTTTAATTTACTTCCTTGTGAAGGTAATAGAAGTTCAGCATAGGAAATTTTTTTAAAGTAGCTAAGTAAAGAGAAGTGATGTTACCTGTAACTAAGATGACCATATTAAATGTCCTCCAGCTGAGTTGAGAGTGGGAAGAGTGCTAACCAGATAGGGTGCCAGGACATAGGTCTCCTTCCTACAGGTGTAATTACTGACTGTCCCAGACAGGGTGGGGCAACCTTAAACACACACACACACACACACACACACACCCTATATCCCACTCAGTGACAACCACTAATGAATTCTGAGCATATCTTCTTAGATACTTTTATATATACAGGTCAATGTATGTAAACATTGACCTCTGCCTTCCAGTTTTATAAAGCATTCCTACAGTAAGAACTGTTTTGAAACTTTTTTTCTCCATTACCACAATATGTGAAAAATATCTTTGAATATTGAATCTTCTGCTACAACATCATTGTTCACGTTGTATGTTTTTCTTACTCTGGACACATTGTGATACACTCACCCAGTCCCCTAAGGTGGAGCCTGGGGGTTGTTTCCAATCTTTTGCTGTTAATAATAATGCAGTCAGCATTCCTTGAGACCAGAGGTAAGCAGATTTTTTTTTTTTCTGTAAAGGTCAGATAGCACAGATTTTAGGCTTTGGGGGCCATATGGTGTCTGGAGCACATTTCTTCTCTTTTTTAAAATAACCCTTTAAAAATGTAGAAACCATCCTTAGCTCGCAGATCAAACAAAAGCAGGCCGTGGGCAATATGACCTGTGGGCCACGGTTTGCCAACCCTTACTCCAGATAAATATTTCATGCAAGCACACGCATGGACATTTTCAAGGCTTTGATACAGAATGTCAGTTGCCCTCTGGAAGCATTGCTGATTTATACTCCCTTCAGCGGAGTATGAACGTGCCCACTTCTGTGGACGCTGGGTGTTCATCTGTATCAAGATGACAGGCAAAAATGACATCTCATTTTAATTTATATTTTAAATTATTGGTGGGGTCGATCACTCTTTCACATTTGTAAATCAATGTACATCTCCTTTACAAAGTGCCCAGCCCCATCTTTGCCCTTTTTTTTCTCTTGAAGTGTTCATCTTTCTTGATAGTCTGTATATTTACTAATTTTTAAAAATTAAGCTTATCAAAGTTCATCTATGCAATCCGCATGTGGGTCACACTAGATTATCTGAGTTAGCTGGTAGAGTCCTTGTGGAAAAAAAAAATTCATCTATCCACACTCTTCCGTACATTGCATTTTTTACTTGATGGTACATCCTGGGGATCTTCCATATCAGGACATTCTTTTTCATGATGCATTATATTCTACTGTTTCAATGTGCCACACTTTAGTTTCAATACCAAACATGCAGAAAATCATGCTTTAATTAAAAAATAAATAAATAAGGAAACACTAGATGGCTTTTTGCAAAATTAATTCATAAAAAATGGTCACTTTTTTCTTCTCCATGAACAAAAACAAAATGTAATAGAAGAAAAGGTTTGTATATAAAACAGAAAGAAAACCTATCTCTAGATAGTCTGGTGAATATTGTGTGTGTGTGTGTGTGGAGACTTTATAGATACTCTCATAAAAGTTTTATAGAGAAAACATTAAACTCCAGTGAGGGATTTAAAAGAATACTTACATAGGGGCATCTGGGTGGCTCAGTTGGTTGAGCGACTGCCTTCGGCTCAGGTCATGATCCTGGAGTCCCGGGATCGAGTCCCGCATCGGGCTCCCTGCTCAGCGGGGAGTCTCCTTCTCCCTCTGACCCTTCCCCCTCTCATGCTCTCTCTATCTCATTCTCTCTCTCAAATAAATAAATAAAATTAAAAAAAAAAAAAAAGAATACTTACATAAATGGAAAGCCATGCATTTTTAGCCTGTAAAGATGCTAATTTTTCCTTAATCATGAATAAATGAATAAGCTCAGTTATAGCTTAGGGGGCAGTGTCAGAGAACATTGGGGAATATCCTGCAAGAATAGACCCTTTCCCTACAAGATACTGAAACATGTTTGAAGCAATAGCAACTAAGACAGTCTGGTTCAGGCAAAGCTGTGGACAGGTTGATGGAATAGAATAGAATCCAGAAATAACTCCAGTTTGTATCATATTTAACTGAGGGTCTTGGGGGGTATCTCATCAATGAAGAGAAGAGAGATTTTTCCATAAGTAATAATGGAACAACCAGTTAACCTTTTTGAAGAGAGAAAAAAAGATGGATCCTTGCCTTACTCCTTATAGCAAGGTAAGTTTCAGATGTATCAAAAGCTTTAAAAAAAACTATAAAAATTACAGGAGAAAGCATTGGTGAATTTACTTATAATATTAGCATGAAACAGGCCTCTCTGAGCTGTTTGCAGAACTCAGTGGCTGTAAGGAAAAAGATGGATTAATTGATGACACAGCAGTTAAAACTTCTATAAGACAACAAATGTCATAAAGTCAAAAGACAGCAGACGTTTGTAAGCAAACAACAGGCAGAATCTGGTTTCTTTAATTTACAAAGATCATTCGATATTGGGACCTGTGACCTGATAGGAAAATCGACAAAGGGTAGGAGGTCTTCTAAGGAAAAGAATGCATATGGCCAGTAAGGATGCTTGAGTTCACTCATAGTTAAATACAGCTCAAAACTGGAAGATTACGTTTCGCAAAAATTTTTAAAGTTCAATAATGCTCTCAGCCACGGTTGGTAGAAGTGTGCAGGGAAGCCTTTTAGAGGACAATTTGGAAGTGTCAGTTAAAATTAAGAATATCCATACATTTGACCGAGTAATTATAATGCTAGGAATTTGCTCTGTAGGCGAGTGAACCAAATATACCAAGATTTCAGTGCAAGAATGTTCACTGCTCTTGTATTACTGTTTTATTTATAACTTAATGTATCAATTTATGTCATGTCATTTATAAAGGCAAAAAGCACTAAACAACCTTTACAACTTAGTTAGAGAAGTGGTTAAGTTGGTGGGTCTCAGCTGGGGATGGTTTGCCCCCTCTAGGGGACACTTGGTAATATCTGGAGATGTTTTTGATGGTTGCAGCTGGGGAGAGGTGCCCCTGGCGTCCAGGGGGTAGAGGGTAGAGATGCTGTCAGACATCCTACAATGCATAGGACAGCCGCTCACAACAGAGAGTTATCAGGCCCGGAATTCCCATAGTACCTAGACTGAAAAACTCGAGGTTAACTCCGGTTAAGTCAAGTATAGTGCATTGGAACAGGACAGTATAAGGCACCATGAGAAAGAATGTCCTGATACGGAATCCCCAGGCTGTACCATCAAGTAAAAAACGCAACGTAGGGAAGAGTGTGGATAGGCGAATTTCTTTTTTCCAGAAGAAGACACAGTCTATGTCGTACACTTCTCAGTAGGCACATAAAAATGAGGAAAAAGTGATTTTGGGAGAATTTGATATTTTTGACTTTTTTTTTTTTTTTAGTGGAGGTAGGAACAGGAAAAATCCACAGCTTTATTGGACTTCTTCCATTCATTGTGTAGTGCTTTCATTTCTACAGTTGCCTGGACATTCTAAGCTTCCCTAAAGGCCTCACACCCGGACGCAGATGAGAAGGCATCCCCTACTTTCATTTTTAATAAAAAGCCAACAAGAGTGAGCTGGGCATTGGAATTAGGGGCCTTTTTTGTTTTCTTCTTTGTGCTTTTCAGCATTCCCTAACATCATATATATCTGCATGCTTGTGCATTTTTAAAAAATAATGTGCTTAAGTCACCCTTATGTCCAAAAGAGAGAAGGAGTTCAGAAAATCAGGGACCATCTACAACAGCACTTTAAATTGCTGTGTCTCACCTTTGTGAAGTGACATGGACAAATATTCATGCATTCATGAGAAATGACAAAAACCAGAGTTAAGCCCAAATATATATAAAAAGGTCCTTAGGAAAAAGAGATCAGAAACAATGCTGGAAGATGCCATTTGGGATGTTACTATTTTATATATAGCTCTATATTTTTCACTCCTCTGATTTTTTGTTCGAAGCTTATCTAAGGTAGTTGTATTTCATGATGGAGAGAAGCTCTGTGTTTAGTGGTGAGGGAGAAACTGAAAGGTGAAACGTTGTGGGGACCTTTCTGAATTCAGAAATTTGGCCCACGTTTCTTTATTGGGTTGCACTTCTATTATCGGGTTGATAAAGGAGGGAAAACTTTTCTTCTTGCAGAAGAACGTTATGGAATTCCTGGCGCCCCTGAGACCAGTGGCCATTCGGATAGTGAGAAATGCTCACGGGAACAAAACAGGTAAGGCCTGGGCTGTGCGGGGTGGGTTTGGGGAGACAGAGGGCAGAGATGGAAGGTTGGGGCAGCTGCCTCGGGGGGATGTTTTCAGGGTAGCTGTTGTGTTCGCTCTTAGTGTCCCCCGTTCAGTGGAAGGGTTGAGGCGCTCGGGACAAGGGTCTGCGTCGGGTGGTGGCCTAGTATGTAGCCTGCCCCTGCCAGCCCCACCCCCCACCCCACCCTCAGCCTACGCTTGTGCTTGCGGGCTCACCTGTTCCGTTTAAACACATGTCCCTGGTCCCGGGGCTTTGCTCGGCCAAGTCCACGAGCAGCTCTGCTGACGGGCAGCACTCTGAGTTGCCGAGGATGTGTGGTGTTGCCCCGGCGCTGCCCTCTCCCCCGCCTTCCCCGCTCTGGGTGGCCAGCCCCCTCCCCAGGCTTCAGAGGGGTGGGGGACATGCTGGTAGGAAGGGTCCGAGCGTGGAGAGCTGGAAGCCTGCCTCTGCCTACTTGCTGGCCAGGCTCGGAGGCTGCAGGACTCAGAGCAGCAGAATCGGTGCCCCTCGGAGAGCCACCCTGAGGGCCTCCGGCTGGGGCAGGCCAGGCAGCACTGGGCAGGCGGGGTGTCCTTGGCAAGAAGACTCCCTCAGGGGCAGAGGGGTTGGGAACTGTGGGGGGCTGGCATCTGGGGAAGAAAGGGCTCCTGCTTTAGGGGTGGTCTTGTCGCCTTTGATTGTCGGCATTTCCTCCCCAGCTCTCTGAGCGTGAAGCCCTGCTTACCAGGCAGCTCTGTTCGGCCAGCCAGCTTTGTCTCCTTGCACACTTACCGAGTGCAGTAAAGGAGGGGGTGACGAGCGCCTTTCTGGGCTCAGATCCCAGCTCAGCCGCTTACAGGCCCTGTGACCCTGGATGAGAGACTTAGCCTCTCTCTCCTCACCTGCGCAGTGGGGCGGTCCTAGCTCGTGATGTTGTGAGGATTCAGTGAGTTAACACACACGGCGTTTAAACTATGCTGAATGTCAACTGCACACTCCCTGAGAGCTGCTATTAATAGTGGTGGTGGAGGGGGCACCCCTGCTTTCAGGGCACTTTGGAGACCACAGGGCGAGCAGGGGTTGGCCAGAGGGAGCAGGAAGGAGCATATCGGAGCTGTCAGGGCTGAGAGAAAAGTGTACTGGGGGCCCGGGAGCTGGAGGCAACTGGCGTATGAGCATAATGCTTTTGAGGAGAGATAGAATGTCCCCTCAGAAGAGCTGGTGAGGAGGCAGGACCTGGCCCCTAGGCCGGGGAGCTCACTAATGACCATGGACTCCAGCCTGGGTGCAGGAGCGCAGCAGGGGCTAAAGCATGGGGAGGCCACAATTGAATATAGAACAGTCCCTGGCTGGTGACAGAAGGGTCCTGGGGCCGGGCCCACGAGGTACAGGTGGGCTGGGTGGGGCGTTTGCAGTCATCCAAGGAAGGATCGGCAGTGGGCTGGACTGGGGTGTGGCAGAGGGGGAAGGAAGGGGATGGAGGACGTTTATGGGGATAGATGAGGTGCCTGCCTTTGGGAACAGAGAGGAAGGAGGAATCCTAGGAGGGAATAAAGAGCCTTGTGATAGAGCCCCGGACCTGTGGGCTTCGGACCAGGTTACAGCACTGCTACCTCTTAGTCGTGATGCTCTGCTGTTCATGGGGTTGAGGCCCTGTGAGGTGGAGGATGTGACGCCTCCCGTGCTCCAGGAAATAGTCCCGCATGCTTGTTTGTGTGCACGGGGCAAGCGACAGAGTCCTTGTGGAGGTAGCCACTCGGGTGCTAAGCTGGTCACAACACTTCCGCCTTGGCACGTCTCCTCCAGAGGAGGCTACAGAGTGGGCCCTGGTTCAGATGGGGTGAGGCCGGAAGGGAGCTGAAGGCCTCCTGTGTTCCTGCCTCCTGTGGTCTGGCACCTTCGTCTGGAAACCAGCCCGCAGGGTCTCAGCACTGCCCGCAAGGAGAGGTTTGGCCAGGGGTTCGGTGAGAGTCCGCCTGTATTTTGGAGACTTGACAAACATAGGGGTTTTCCCCCACTTTCTGCTCAGATTCCCCCAAACAGCCAGCACAGTGTGGGTGTTTCTCTGTGATTCCCACCCGCATCTGCAGAGTCTCCCTTTGTCACTGTCCCTTCTCAGGGTACATCTTTGTGGACTTCAGCAGCGAAGAGGAAGTCAAGCAAGCTCTGAAATGCAACAGGGAATACATGGGTAAGGAACCAGCCTCTGCCTGGTTGCAGAGCTTTGTTCGCTCATTCGTTTACTCCATACGTTTTGATGGAGGGTCTGCTGTGTGCCCGACACTGGTCTAGTCACTGTGGATACAGCAGTGAGCAGAATACACCAAAACCTCTGCCCTCCTGGAGGTAAGAGTAAGCGGACGTAGAGCAGGGAGAGACAGTCATCAGATGGGCCGGGATTGGAGCAGGTGCATTTTAAACAGGATTGCCTTCACTTGGGCCTCACTGAGAAGGTGACATTGGAGCAAAACCTGGGGAGGGAAGGGGTGGGGGGCAAACTCTGGCTTTGTGGGATGGGGCAGGGGCTGTTCATCAACAGTACGGGGCAGTCCTCCAGGGTTTTCTGTCCTGTGACACCTTTGCCCAGGCAGAGCCAGGGAGTGTGCCCTGGTAGAGGATGCAGCATGGTGGCCTGGGGTGGCCAGGGGTTGAAGCCGGATGTGTAGGATGAGGGAGATTCAGGGAGAGGGCCCTTCCCTGGCCCAGACCGCCACCCCGGTAACAGCCGGTGCCAACACTCTCGCCTTGGCTGTGGCGTCTGGGAGGCCACAGGGAGAGTCCGGATCACCACGCAGGAGTCGCCGGCTAGTTCCGGGCCTGCCCCGGAGCCCTGACTCCTCTCGTCCTGCAGGCGGGCGCTACATTGAGGTATTCAGGGAAAAAAACATCCCTGCGGCCAAGGGGCCCCTGAAGAGCAGTGCCAAGTCCTGGCAAGGCCGGACCCTCGGGGAGAACGAGGAGGAGGAGGATGTGGCCGACTCCGGGAGGCTCTTCATACGAAACCTGCCCTACACCAGCACCGAGGAGGACCTGGAGCAGCTCTTCTCCAAGTTCGGTACGGGCGCCACCTCCCACTGCCCCGTAGCACGTGGTGCGCGAGCAGACGGCCTGGGTTTGAGCACGGCCCGCCTCCTGTCAGCTCCTGACCACGGGCAAATGGCTTCCCACTCTTGTCTCCCTTCTGTCATCTGTAGACGGGGCTGATGACCCCTGAGCTGCTGCGAGCGCTCACACGTCATGGACGTAGGGGGTTAGCAGGGCTCCCAGCCAAAGGTCGTGTGACAGGCGTCGCGTGCTGTCTGAACCCATTGTCTCCTTGCTCTCACTGTCTAAACTCAGAGCTGTCGAGATTTGGAAACATTCTGCTGAGCCAGCCCTTGCTGTCCGAACTCTTGCTGCTCAGAGTGTGAAGTCCAGTCACTGGGGGCAGGAACGTGACAGGGCTTCTCAGTCTGAGCTCCACTCTCTGAGGCCTTGCTCTCCAAACCGAGTGTCCCAAGTGGATGTGGTAGGGTCACGTTTGTCATGGTCACTGCTTCTGCTGCTATTTCTCAGGCGAAAATAGGAAGGCCTGAGGTTCAACTTGGCCCGCAGGGCTGTGTGTTTGTAAGGGCATGGCTGTTGAAGGGAAGGAAGTTAGGGTTTGAGATGGAGGGCAAGGTCTGGATGCTTTGGGATCCCTCACTGCTGTTTGGAGGCCAGCTGCGGGTCGTGCGGGCAGGGAGGCCCTGGGTAGGACTCTGCCAGCAGGCACATTCATGTGACCTCCCAGCCCGCGGCCACTGGTTTGCACAACAGGGCCGGGCTGCCCAGGCTGGGGGATGAGCCGTGGCCTCCAGGTTTCCGTGGGGGAAGACAAAGACCAAGGGGGGCGTGGGCACCCCCTGGTGTTGAGAGCGGAAGCCGCTTTAGAAGGGCTGTACTTGGACCCAGCACACCCCTCTGGGGCACTAACTTTGGAGCAGGCGCGGTTCAGTACGCTACACGAGTATTGATGCATTTATGGGCCTGCTGACAGCCGCCCTATGAGCTTGGCATTCTTAGGATGCCACTTGACAGATGAGAGACTGAGACACGTGGAGGCTAATGGTTTGCCCCCGGCCATGCATGTGGTAGGTGTTGGAGGCAGGATCCAGGCCAGGCACTTGTACTTCTAGGGTAGACACGTAAAGGATTGTGAAAGGCCACTCTTGACCTCTGAGGTGGTCTCATGGCAACCGCGGCTGTGACCCACCCAGAAGAGCTGGGTGCCCAGCACTCAGGCCCAGCCCCAGCCCCCAGGATGCTGACACCTGTCCTGTCCTCAGGTCCTCTGTCTGAGCTTCATTACCCCATCGACAGCCTGACCAAGAAACCCAAGGGCTTTGCCTTTGTCACCTTCATGTTCCCTGAGCACGCCGTGAGGGCCTACGCGGAAGTGGACGGGCAGGTGTTCCAGGTGACTGCTCCAGGCTGGCGGGTGGCGGCTGGGCTCAGGTGATGGGGAAAGGATCTGTGGGCCCACACGCACGAGCACCTACATTTCTAAGAAAACGCAGACGGTGTGGGAAGCCTCTGCCTCGCAGGAGCCTGTAGAGGGGAGCTCCCTGGGGGCAGGGCCCTTCAGCACCTAGGACAGCACCTGGCACACCATGGAGGCTCGAAAACTATCTGTCAAGTGAACACATATGCTTTGTGTCCCCAGAAATACTGTTTGGGAGAGAAATAAGGAAGGAGAGTTTGGACTGGTCGTGTTAAATGGGCCCATAGGATGTAAGAAGCTCTTCTTTTTTTCTAGTGTTACCGAGCAGTGTGCTTTGCCCGCCTGCTCAAGCCCAGGCCACCTCAAGCTCCCTCTGTCCTTTTTCTCCCCACTCATTTGTTCATTCATGATTTGTTGATCTCCTGGGACCCCCCAGCCAGACCGGCTCCCACCCGCGTGGAGCCCTCGCTTCAGTGCGCGGGGACAGAACAGGGCCCAGGCTTGAGGGGGTGGGGGCTGCTGCAGGGGTTTTATAAAATGCTCAGTTTCTGTCGTGAGGCTGTATCAAAAGTCCCCCACCAGCGTCGGGACCCTGATTCATGTGGCCAGGTCCCCATTCTGGTGTGAGGGTGGCCATGTCTCCTGACTAGGGTTATCAGCACTGGGTCCATCCTGCCAGTGGAGGGGCTGATGTCCTGGGGCAGGATGTGGACCCACCTATCCCCTTCCTCTCTTTACCCTCTTTTCGTCATCCCCCTCCAGGGCAGAATGCTCCACGTGTTACCATCCACCATCAAGAAGGAAGCCAGCGAGGATGCGGACACCCCAGGATCATCGTCTTATAAGAAGAAGAAAGAGTCTAAAGACAAAGCCAACAGCTCCAGGTCCCTACCCGCTACCAGCCTCTAGGCCCTGCTCCTCCAGCCGCCTACATGCTCTGGCTCCTTGGGATGGGTTCAGCCTCTCGTCCATGACCTTCCTGAGCCCCGCTTTTGTCATCTGCTTAATGGGGGGGATCACAGTGGTGCCTTACTTTCTCAGTGTTGTAAGAATTAAATGAACTCATATAAGCAAAGTGCTTAGTCCCTGGCACAAAGTAAGTGCACGTCAAATGTCGGGGATCGTATCCTCATTGCTCACGTCTCCAGGCCCTGGGTGCTTGGCCCGCGCCCGGTAAGTTGGCAGGAGGAGGCAGCTTTGGGGTCTTAGAAGGGCAGGCGATGAGCTTACTTCTTAGAGGTTTTGCATCTGAGAAAATATTCCGCTCATTCAGTCTTGGTCTGACTTCTTTGTTCTGCCTCTGCCTCTCAGCTCTCACAACTGGAACACGCTGTTCATGGGCCCAAATGCCGTGGCGGACGCCATTGCACAGAAGTACAGCGCCACCAAGAGTCAAGTGTTTGACCACGTGAGTGGGCGTCCCGTCTGACATGCCCGGCTCTAGGCCGATCACAAGGGGAGAAGGAGCAGGGTCGTCTACAAGCCCTGGCCTCAGGCTGAAGTTGTGGGCATCCTTGGGGCCTTCTCTGGAAGTATCCTCTCCATGCTCCAGGCCTGCTTCTCCCGGGCTTGTGTGGAGCCAAGCCAGAGAGACTCAGCTATGCGGTGCTCCTCACCACAGCCCGATGAGCTAGGTGTTCCTGCTGTCCCACTTTCCAGCTGAAGAAACTGAGGCCTAGGGACACAAAGTAACCTTCCCAGGGTGACACACCTGGAAAAGGCAGAGATGGGATGACAGGTCTGTCTGACTCTGGTGCCCATGCTCTGAACCCCATCACACACCTCTCCAAGGGCTGTCACATGCGTTCCCTCAGCTGGGCTGGCCCCAGTCTTTGAGATGAGGAAAGGGGAGTCATCGGCCTCTGCCCCTCTTCCCGTCAAAGTCAAACCTGATTCCTGCTGACTTTTCCCATCCATCTCTCCAGCCCCCTCAGATCATACACCTTCCTTAAAGTGCACGTGTCTCTACTTACACCGTGGCTAAGTCCATCTTTGGCAAAACGTTGGAATATGTTTTCCAGCTAGTCAGAAAGGATATCCATGGTTTTGCCCCATAAACCGTACACCCGTTGTCATTTCCTCCTGCCCAACACTCAAAGTCAGCACTGCCCATTAGAACTAGAATGTGTGCCCTGTGTGTAGCAGCAGACCCCATAGTGGCCACGTTTCTTAAAAAGCAAAAAGAAACAGGCAAGATTCGTTTTCAAAATCTGTTTTATTTAATTCAGTATAGCCAAAGCACGGCCAAGATATCATTTTAACATAATACACAATATGAAAGATGACAAGATAACTTTGCCTTTTGTTTTCTCGCTAAGTATTCAAAATCCAGTGCATGTTCTATACTCCTAGCACTTTTTGATGTGCATGCACCACGTTTCAAGTGTTCAGTGGCCAGATGTGGCTCATGGCCACCATGTCGGGCAGCTCAGCTCCAGGCCTTAGCTGGCTAGGAAGCATGCAGCCAGTTCAGATCCCACAGCACCCGACACAGAAAGTCTTGCTCTTCTAGAACCTTCCAGAGAAGGAAGACATACGTAAACAGGTGCAGCATACGCATAATAGCTAGGAAGGTGAAGCTGAGTAGGGGAGAGAGTGTGAGAGTGAGGGTCACCAGTCAGCAGAGTGACATCTAAGCAGAAATTGGATGGAAGGAGGCATCATGGGGTAAGCACCATGCAGGCGGAGGTCAGCGAGTGCAGAGGCCCGAGGTGGGGATGAGGTTGGCCTGCTTGGCTGGAATGGAGGGTGGGGAGTGAAGCTGGAGAGGTAGGCATGGGGGTTCTGGATTTACTGTGTGAGACATGGAAGCCCGAGTCATGAAATTACTATGGGTCCGTGAGGGGCACCGGCGGCCCTGTCTAGCTGTCTCCTCAGGCTATTGGGAGATGGAACGACTGACCTGTCACCAGCCTGCCAGCTGACAGGGCCTTTTCCCTCCCCCCCCCCACAGGAGACCAAGGGCAGCGTGGCCGTGCGCGTGGCCCTGGGGGAGACCCAGCTTGTCCAGGAAGTGCGGCGCTTCCTCCTCGACAATGGGGTCAGTCTGGACTCCTTCAGCCAGGTGGGTACCGGCTCAGCGAGCCACCAATGGCTGGAGAGCCGAGGGTGGGGTTTCAGATCCGGGACGTGCTGGCGGGTTTGAGGATCCGACCTTTCAAGGATGATTATTATTAATCTCTAAGTTGTCGCTAAAGAAGAAAATATCACCTGGGCTCAGACAAGGGGCCCATCTGACTTGGATGGTGTCTCTTGGGGGCTGTGTGCTGGGGCTTCCCCACACAGATGAGAGGGGCCCCACCCAGTACCTTACTAGGAGCACCTGTTGTCTAACTGGGAGTACAGACCTTCCTTGGACCAGGTAGGATAGAGGTCAGGACTCCTACATGCTTATTCTCCACCAGGTAGGAGTTAAGACCTCCCCTCCCTTTCACAGGCTAGGAAACTGAGGACCAGAGAGGGGTTGGGGTGGTGACTTAGAGGTCAAACACTGAGCCTGTGGCAAGAGCCTGGACTAAATCTCGACTTCTGACTCCCAAATAGCCCTCCCGGCTGTCCAGGCCAACCTCCAGGGCGAGTGGAATGGAAAGGGCTGGTGGATGCATGAAGTACAGATGCTGACAGCTAACACTTACTGGGACTCACCAAAGTGTTCCCCTAGATTTGTGTTTTATTATTCATTTCTCTCATGTGACAACCCGGGAAAGCAGCCCTGCTGTGTTCGCATAGTGATTCATAGAGCCTAAGTCACATGCTCCGGGTCACACAGCTGGTCGTGGATCGGAATGCAGCCCCAGAGCCCACGCCCCTAACTGTTGTCCTCTACGGCCTCAGTGGCACCTGAAGCCCACTGGGGGCCAGCCCTTCCCACCTGCACATGCCTTCCACCTCACGCACCTCACTCAGTCCTCACAGCAACAGTGAGGCCTAGAGGATGGGTGTTACTGCCCGTTTTGCTGGCGAGAAAACTGAGGCCAGAGGGAAAGCAACTGACCCAAGGTTTCAGGTTAGATTCGTAGCCAAGCTGAGACTCCTGCTCAGATACCCCATGTGCCTGGAGCTTGGCCATTATATCTTGGCTCTTTGGTGCCCCCGCTACATGGTTTTTCAATAAACTAATCACTGACATTTACAGAGTGCATATACTGTGTGTGCTTGGCTCGTGTTAACGCACGTAATTAAATCGTTCCCTGAGGTGCTCCTGTGAAATAGGCGCTGTGTCCTGGCGTTACATGAGGGGCTGAGGCCGAGTTAAGTACGTCTCTCAGGGCCGTGTATCTGCTGTCTTGTTGGACACTCCGGAAGGCCCAGCGAGGGCTGTGGGCGGACACTGGCAGGATCTGCCATGGCTCAGAAGTGGAGGGGCTGACGTGTGACCTGGGCTCTAGGACTGGGGCCCTCACCCCTACCCACTCGGAGGAGCTGCCTCTCTCCCTGGAGTGCCACGCCCGAGGGGTGGGGTCTCGGGGGCCCGCTCCCCAAGCGCCTGGTACTTGAGGTCCCGAAGGGCTGCCTGGTGCAGAGATAGCCACAGATCGGAGCTGGGGTCGGGCCGGGGATCCTCCCTCCCATTGCCCCACGTGTGCTGATTCCCTCCCTGCAGGCGGCGGCCGAGCGTAGCAAGACCGTGATCCTGGTTAAGAACCTCCCGGCGGGCACCGTGGCAACCGAGCTGCAAGAGACCTTCGGCCGCTTCGGCAGCCTGGGCCGCGTGCTGTTGCCCGAGGGCGGCGTCACCGCCATTGTGGAGTTCGTGGAGGCCCTGGAGGCCCGGAAGGCCTTCAGACATCTGGCCTACTCCAAGGTAGGGCTGCCGGGGCCTGCTCGGGAGAGGGCCGAGGGGGCCGACGGACCGGCAGGCAGCCTTAGCACAGACCTGGCTGGTGCGGCGCTGGCTGCAAACCAGCCTTCTCTGATGTGATCTACGACCCGACCCCTGAGAGCACCTCCTCGGGACGGGAGCGTGTGAGAGGGTCGCTCTAGAGATCCCCCAGAGAGCACGCCGTGGCTCCGCGCCGCCCTCTGGCTTCCCTTGGCTCTCCACTCCTGTGTGAATTAGAGCCGCCATTCTGGGCACGTGTGGTATCTTACGTTTCCAGTAAGTTGAAAGTCACTTCTGTAAGAGGGCAGTCTCTTGCTTCTCAGTAAAGAGAGAAAGAAGTCATGTGTATATATACACATCTAGAGTAGTACGGTAGTTTCTTGTGATGGCCACAAAGCAGGAGCTTAAAACAGCAGAGCTGTATTGTCTCACAGCTCTGGAGTCCCGAAGGCTGAAATCCAGCTGTCACAGGGCCCTGCCCGCTCTCAAGGCTCTCAGAGACCCTTCCTGCCTCTGCCAGCTTCTGGTGGCACCACGTGTCCCTTGACTCGTGGCCACGTCTGTCCGGTCTCTGCCTCTGTCTTCATGTGGCCTTCTTCCTCCATCCCCAGATCTAACTCTGCCTTTCTCGTGTGCAGACACTTGTCATTGGATTTAGGGCCCACCCAGATAACCCAGATGCTCTCATCTCAGGATCCTTCACTTAATGATAGTTGCAAAGATCTTTTTTCCAAATAAGTCCCATCCACAGGTTTCTGGGGTTTTGGGATGTGGACATATCTTTATGGGGGGGAGCACTGTTCACCCACAATGAGTAGCTTCTCTTTATCAGGCACTTTAGCCCTCCGCAGACTATTTGTCAGTGTCAGGTTTATCCTTGTTGTAAAAAGAAAGAATCTGCGTGCACATGCATTGCCTGTGGTGTAGCGGGGTGGGGGGCGGGAGAGAATGTGGGTTTCTGACAGCCCTGCCCCACTTCCTCCCAGAGAGCTGCATTTCATCAGTGATCCTGCTTCCCCATCCTACTCCCCTTCATTCCCTGATCACAGAAAACCCAAGGAGACACCAATGTGTCCAGTGACAACAGATGCTCGGGCCTGTTCCCTGAGCCCCAAGCTGCAGCAAGGGGAGGTGGGGGGCTGTGATGTTCTCAGGGATCAGGCAGCACAGAAGGTTCCAGGCTGTGCTTCTCCTTTTGGCTCCGTTCCCCCAGGTGAGTTGCCCATACTCTCTGAGCCTCAGGCTCTTCATCTGCAGAAGGAACTGAGCCCCTACCCTGCCCCGTCTCTGCAGTTTCACCACGCCCCCCTGTACCTGGAGTGGGCTCCAGTGGGCATCTTCTCCAGCTCAGCCCCGCAGACGAAGGAACCCCAAGATCCCCCAGCAGGACCTGCAGAAGAGGACAGGGCGGAACCAGAAACCTGTAAGAGCTGAGATCAGGGTGTCCCAGGGCAGGGGGCAAGTGGAGGAGGGAGGGTGGGAGGGCTGGGCGCAATGCTGAAGTCTGTAAGATACTTGGGTTCAAATTCTTTATTCGTCCTGGAGACCAGCGCATCTCAGGTTCTCGGATTTCATAGGCATGTAAGATGTCCTTAAGGTCAGAGCATAGAAATTATAGGGGCAACATAAAGTAGCCAGCTTTTCAGTTTGCCAGTTAAAGGTTGAAAAAGACCCCTGGAATCTACCACTAGGGATTTAGAACCGAGCAGGTGAGAACCTTCTTGTTTTATACACCTGCCAGCATGCCTGGCCAGTGAGGGCCTCCAGTGAGAAGTCTCACCTCCGTCCTTGGAGTGGCATAGCACAAGGGCAGGGTAGGAATGCTGGGCAAGGTCGGGGGTGGCCCACCCCCACTAATGCTTCACACTTGGGGGCGCAAGGGGTGCCACTGGCGCGGGGGGAGCACCATCCCCCCCTTGCCAGGATGGTCGTGCAAATAGCAAGGCATTTTGCACCCCCAGCCTCTCTGCCCACTGAATGTCCAGAGTGCTCAGTGCTCATGACAACCTGAAACACTGCCCGTGTTCCCTCGGTGTTCCCCAGATGTCCCCTAGGGGGCGAGAAGCGCTCAGGGTGGGGGCCACGACACATCCCGGAATGGAAGACTTTCAGAAAAGTTTTGAAAAGGGCTGGCGGTCCTGTTATCCAGATGTTAGGACCTTGCTCATCAGCAGTGTCCCCTGCTTTCCTACTCACCTCCCCCCATAGGGTTACCCAGTGTATTAAAATAAGAATTGAGAAAATAAGTCTCCCATCTACCATCTCCGTCATTCCCAGAAAGCGTGACTCAGAGCAAAAACGGGGCGAGCAGAATTCTCAGATTAAAGAACAGGTCTTTAATTGAATAGACCTCACTGTCCATAAACCTCGCGGGGCTGTCTGCATTTGTCACGTTGTCGTGAGTCCGTAAAACCTTCAGGACCAGCCCAGTCAGCACCAGGCACTCGGGAGCCCCTGGTCTGGTATCTTTGTTCCAATCAGGAAGGACAGTTCTTTGGTCTCTGCATCTCGAGGCTCCAGGAGCCTCCCTCGTCCTCAGACTTACTGATTACTGGTATGAACCTTCACTAGCCCGTGTTGTTGAGTTAGTTTTGTCCACAGATTGGATTAGGGTTCCCTTCAAAACCCGCTTTTGCCACCATAAGAAGACTTCTCTTGACGCAGTTCTGTGACTTTCTTAACGAGCCATCACCCCAAAATCATCAGCCACCTTAGCATTCACTTCACTTGCTCATCCTGAACCTGAATAATATTTTTTGACCAAAGCAAGTCTTCCTTTTAGGCAGACAGACTTGCCAGGAGCGAGGGCTCATTTCCTACCTGCTTAGGACCACTAATCCTGGTGCCATGTGGCCACACTCTGCACATGTCCTGGTGTGGCCCCTTGCCCTGGCCTTCTAGAACAAGTGTTCTAGAGTTTGTATTCTATGTATTCATTTGTTTTTCTTGCTCAATATCCGTCTGTGGCCGACGGGAGAACCATGAGGGCAAGGAGCGGCCGCCTTGCTCACTGCTGGGTGCCCTTTCCCCCACAAGGCCCCAGGCATAGCTCCATGAATATGTGTGGACGGAGTAAACAGATGCAGGAAGAAGGGTTTCTGCCCCTCTCTCTGTGCCTGGAAGGCTGGGTCATCCTGGCCTTTGTGCCCCAAGCCTCAGGCACACAGTAGGAGCTTGGTGATGGAGGGTTCGTCCTCCAACCATTGTCCCGCGTCGAAGCAGAGTGGAGATGGTGCCAGCACCGATTCCAGGGACAGTCACAGCTCCTGCTGGGTGTACCAATTGATGCCTACCCCACGAGCTACCCTTCGCTTTGTTCTAACCCTTTCCCACTTCCTGGAATCGTGGACAGGCTCATTTCCTTGGTGTCTGACTTCCCTGTTAGAAAGTCCATTCCACGAGGCAGGTACCTTGTCCGCTTGCTCCCTGCTGAACCTCAGCACCTGGAAGGAGGGCAGGCTGGGCGCTGAGTGAACCCCAGGGCGCTTACGCCGTGCCCGGCCCTGCACTGAACACTTCCGGTTCCTCCGTGTATAGCTCAGAGCTCCTGGGGAAATTACTGTCCTCCTTGTCCTCTCCTAGCTCTGCGGCCGGGCGAGCCACCATCCTTCTCTGAGGCTCGGTTTCGGCGTCCGTAAAATGGGCATGATGACCATGCTGACCTCTCGGGGCGTAGGTGAGAGTATGGTGAGACACCGCAGGGAAGGCATCAATACTCTGCCCCTCTGGTGCAAGCCGGAGCGGATGGCTCATCATTCAGCCATGAGCACCAGCTTCTGCTGAGCTGGGGTGACCCCAGTGGGTGCCACACAGACCCTCTTCCCTAGAAGAGGCCTGGTGGAGGGCAGCTGAGAGTCCCACTAGGAGCAGGGGCAGGCCGTGTGGACAGAAACGTTCTGGAGCTCACGGAGAGGCTTGGCAGAGACCATGTACCCGAGTCTGCCCTGCCCCACTGAGCCCTGCTTCCCGGGGCCTGGACTGCCCTGTTGAGAGCCTCCCAGACAGACTTCCCCTGACAGGTCCTGCCTCTCGGGGCTGACGAGACTCACACAAAGGAGGCCGCGGAGCCCGGCCGAGGGGCCCGGCTACAGGCCTGATTTCAGATGGGGCGCTGTGCGTGTCTGGACTGATTTCAAGCCCTGCTGAGGTCCGCATCACCAGGTACATTCCTACAGAGCTCCCCTCCTGGGCCTCTTTTTGCCCTTTCTGTACCTTTTCTTACACGAATCGCATACACAGCCCCCTCCCCAGCCTCCTGTGCCATTCCTTTTCACGTGCTCCTCCCCCACACCGGGGCTCCACCTCGTTCCTGAAGCTTCCTCGATGCCCATCGCACTCAGCCAGCCCCCAAGCCCTAGATTTTCTCAGGCCCCGAAAGAGGGGAGCGGGGAGGGGAGTGGACGGAGCTTTTATTTTTCCAGCCCCCCCTCCTTCCTTTCTGGAAAGCTCCCCGTTCCCTGTACCAGTCTCGAGGGAGGGGGACAGTGTGTTTTATCTCCCCACAACCAAGACCCTCACCTCCAGATAAAGGGCTCAGAGTCGGGGGAGGTCCTGAAAAGCTGCTTGCAACTGATAACAGTCTCTGCTGTCAGCCTTCAGCGCCCAGAGCTGGGAAGGGGGGGGAAGCTGCGGTAAATTCTGCGGCCTGATTATAATAAAGCCCCATGTGGCGATGCGTGACTGGGTTTTATTGTGCTAACTACAGATGGAAGCACATTCTCCCCTGCCTGCCCCAGCCCCCTCCAGCCCACCTGACTTTGAAATCCTTCCCCCCACTCGCACTCCCACCCTCTGGCCCAGCCCCGCTTGCCTTCCTTACTTCTTCCCTCTTTCTCTGGTTCCTGGTGATTTTGTTGGCAAACATCTGTTTGAGTTTCACAGTATCTCATTTTCCTTTCTCGTCTTTGTCTCCCCACTCGGGCCAGGAGCAGAAGTGCGTTTAAAAATGACCTTTGCCTTCGCTGCCGTGGCACTTGGCCTCCACGTCACACCTCTCTGGACAGGGACGCGGGTGTGTGGGCCGCAGCAGGGCCTGGCCTGGCCACTCAGGGAGCAGAAGCCCTTCCCAGGGGTGTGGCTGGTAGGGACACAGCCCCCCAGACTCTGAGGTGTGGGCCACACCACTACTGAGTGGCATCACCGGGACTCTGACCCAGATCACCCCTTCCTAAGGCCTGTGTGCTTTTCACAGCTCTGTGCTGGTCCTGGCTGGTCCGTGGGCCCCTTCTCAATTTTTCCAGGCCCCCCATTTTCAGCAGATCTCAAGACCAGCCCCCTTGTCTTGTTCGTTCTCCCAGCATCCCAGGGGCAGTTACAGGTACAGGCAGGTGGTTGCTGGGGACACAGAGGTTTAGAGAAACCACAGACGTCTCTGTGCTGTTGGAGGATGGCCAGGCCACATTTAATCATGTCTTTTATTTCAAGCTGCATATCCCTTCCGGATGTTGGGGGTCAGGGCTGTTGGCCGACTGATTAGCAGTTGGAGGAGCTGGTGAGCCAGGCCAGACACACACCTGGGGCGGACATAGGTCCTGGCTGCCCTCACAGTCCCCTTGTTCTTCCCAGGCAGGGGCCAAGGGCACCTCACTCGCCGTGGAAAGGATCAGTCTTCTGTTCCTGGGGTGCCAGCCCTAACTGTAAGCTCAGCTCAGCTCTTGCTAGACCCAAACATCCCATCTCCAGGGCAGGTGCCTCCGACCTTTCACACAGCTCTTTGAAGCTGGGCAAGGAAGCAGGATGGAGCTGGGCTCCCCTGAGCTGCTGTCCCGGGAGGCTTGGAACCCCTGGGACACTGGGAACTGGCTGAATGCTGGGCCCTTGGGAGGGCTGGCGGTCTCTGCTGGCGGCCTGTGCCCAGGCTGCGTGTGGGCAGTAGTACACAAAGGCCGATGAGCTGGTTGGTGTATTGGTTGACCACTGCCTAGTACAGAAGCCACAGGCCGTTGAGGTAGTTGCCGAGATTTAAAAACCACGGGTTTTTCTGTCAAAAGATGGATTTTCAGCTTCTCTTAGAAGACCTGTACGTGGGACCACCCTGAGTTGACCTCCCATGGCAGCAGTTGGCTGGTATCAAGCAGGGGCTGCCCCCTTAAGCTAACCACGAGCCTTCTTGGTCACCATCATCCCCACCTCTGTCTTCTCTTTCAAAACAATTTCTTTGGTCTTCCGTGAACCTCTCTCCCGACCTGAAGATCGCTCAGATTTAGGGTTCAGAGGCGGCAGCAACCTCCAGCATTGGTCACGGGCGGCCCACTTTTTGTGATGTGGCTCCCGTGGTCATTAATGAGAAAGTCCACCTGGGGCATCGAGCCCAGTGCCTGGCGCGTGGGGCCGGGGTGGGGGGCTGTCTAATCAGCCATCCTTCCTCCCCCCCCCCCTTCATCTCCGGGATGGCAAATACAAGGAGAGCCAGTGGGGTGGAAGTGTCATTCCCAGCTGAAGGTCGTGGTTTTCAGCTCGAATAAAGCTCTCATTCAGACCCCGAAGTCTTAGCTACTTTGCATAGCTCTGCCTCCCCGTCATTAGCAATACTTTGTCCACCCTGCTTTGCTTTGAGCATTGAGTACAATAGCCACACCATGGAGTCCCTGGTTGGGTAAATTGTCTTAGTGTCTTGGGTGGGGGAGGAGTCTTTTGTGTTGATTTCTTCTTTTTTGTCCTGGAGTGAGGGTCTGGGTTCTGGGTTCACCTCCGGGGGAGCAGGAGGGGCCAAGGCTGTCTGTTCAACTGATGTGAGGCAGACAACATTATCACGGCCGCCCGTGGCCATCGGGGCTTGAAAGGGTTGTTTTATGACAAATCGGTTGAAGCTTAATTAGGCCTCGCAAGCGTTCAGCTTGCCTCACGAGGGGCAGGGGAGGCAGACATGAGGCGGTGTGGGTACTTGGCGTGAGAGTGGGGGGCGCGGATTTGAACCCCAAGAAGCTTGAAGTGTTTGAGTGCAGGTGTGGGGGAGGAGAGGGCTGTATCTGTCACCCAGGAGCCGGGGCCCCCTGCTCCAAACCACACGGGTGTGAGGGTGTTGTCTCGTGACCGCTTTGAAGAACCTCCAAGATGGGCTTCGATTTCCACAGGGTGCGGGAGGAACCTCAGAAGCTTGTGTGCGGAGGTGGGATGTGACCCCGGGCCCTGACCATGTGACATGGGGAAATCGGGGAGGTTGAACTGTGCACATTTCCTCATAGCAGGACTTCTAAGAGGTCACGGTGCTGGTCTCCTTCTTCTGAGCCTTCTGTCACCCCGAGGTGACGTCCGCACGCATCACCACGGCTGACCCTGACCCTCAGCCTGCGGATGCACGGCCTCCTATTTGCTCTTCCCCATTCCTGAAATGCTCTTCCTTCCGAGTAGGTGGGACAAGAGGGCTGGGGTCGCAGAAACAACAGCCCTCTGTAACCCTGTTCTCCAGAAGCACCCAGGAGCATGTTCTGCGCCCCCTTCCAGCTTCACTCCCTGCATGTGTCTCTCCAGAACTGCGTGTATGGAATGAGATTGGCCTTATGCTGTTTATCGGTTCAGATCTTAATTTTTCTTGTAATTTTTATATCATAAGCATAATTCTTTGTCCTCACACATCCTTTTGGAAGTATTTTTAATGAACACCTATCATCCCGACCTCTGGTGACACTGTAACATTCCTAGTGTCCCACTTATGAGTATTTAGCGGTTCGTTTGTTTGTTTTCAGTTTTTGTCATGTGCAGCTCTGAGTTTATGTTGTTAGCACAGATCAGGCACTCTGACGTGTGGGGCTCTCCAAAGTTACATACACTGGGGATTCTAATCGAACGTAACATCCCTGAGGTTCATGAGGTATTTAGAGGGTTCTAAGTTTTGCTGCCATTCTGTAATTTTTCAAAAGTTTTGAGTCGCATTTTAATTTGAAAGTTCGCTCTGTATCGCTTTTGTGGAAAAGTAACCCGTCACTTAAGTTTGTGGTTCAGTAAAACAGTTCACACAGTAATTTATATCAAGGTTCACGTTGGTGTGGGTTAGTCCAAGGCTCAGACTTCTGGTCTGGGTTTCATATTCCTTTAAAAGAGAGGCCGGAGGCAGGACAGCCTCGCCCCCCTTCCCGGTCTCCCCCCGCCCCAGGTTCCCCCAAAGAGCGGCTAGAACCCCGTGCCAGCTGGGAATCCATGCCCCTTCCCGACGCTGCCCGCACAGAGGCGGAACCCCTCTGGTCTAGCAGGTTCTGTGCTATAGGCCCTGGGGCTCAGACTTTTCGTGGATCTGCCATCTAATGGATTTGTGTTTGGGGGGGGACGCAGTGCCAGACAACGAGACCCCAGGAGGTGAAAAGCCAGCAGAGGGAGGAGCTGCGGACTGTCCAGAGAAGGTGGAAGAGGAGGAGGAGGAGGAGGAGGAGAGCCTCCCCGGATGTACTCTGTTTATTAAAAACCTCAACTTCAGCACGACGGAGGAGACCCTGAAGGGAGTGAGTGATGTTTGAGAACAACGGGGAAGGGTATCGTGGGGCGGGGAAGCCCGTCTGCTGATGCGCTGCCTGGTTTATTTGGCCTGTAAATCTGGTTCACGCTGATATGGGGCTTCACAGCCAGCCACCGGCCCCTCCATGTCCCTGCTGGGCTGTCCCGTAGGCATCTCCCCCAGGGACTTGAGTCACGGGCAGACCCGCCTTGGGGCTGGGAGGGGCACCCACAGACATGGAAGGGGACGTGTCAGGGCGGCTAGGGAGGCGTGTGCAGTGTGAAAGCTGTCGTCTGTGTGTGTTAGTGTTGCCCATTCAGAAAACAAAGCCACCCCCCACCTCTGCGCCCCGCCAATTGTTTCTGTGGTGTTAACTACCCAAAAGCAAATGTTAGCACCACCTCCTGGCCTGATGGGAGCAGGCAGAAGACCCAGGAATGAGTGCGGGGCAGCCCTGCCTGAAATCCCTGGACGGGATGTGGGTTTTGCATTCTTGGGGGGTGGGGCGGAGGGTACAAAGATGGGCATCTCCAAGTAGGTGTTTGGGAAATGTCAAGTGGGTCCTACATTGAGTAGGGTTGGGGGGGCCTTGTGAAGGAATTGGCTAGAGATAGGGAAATGGAGCCTCCGGTTCCAAAGGATTATTAGGGTCTGCAAGCTCCCCCGCTGGGCTGAGACCTGCTATGGGGAGACTCCTCATTTCTATGAACTGGGTTTGACACATTTTTTTTTATGCATAAATCAGTGATTATTAGCAGGCTGACAGCCATGGATTGGTTCTGAAAAAAAAAAAACAAGACGGCCATAAGGATTGAACTCACGGACTTCTAAAAACTCTTTTGAGGGGCGCCTGGGTGGCTTAGTCGTTAAGCGTCTGCCTTCGGCTCAGGTCATGATCCCAGAGTCCTGGGATCGAGCCCCGCATTGGGCTCCCTGCTCATGGGAAGCCCTGCTTCTCCCTCTCCCACTCCCTCTGCTTGTGTTTCTTCTTTCGCTGTGTCTCTCTCTGTCAAATAAATAAATAAAATCTTAAAAAAATAAAAATAAATAAAAATAAAAACTCTTTTGAGTTCCAAAATCCCACAAATGGACTCAAGAGGGGGGACGGGGTCCACTGAGTCCCAGAGGCAGGATGGTGGTGGGTGGGTGGAAGGGAGGCCAGCCTGCATCCAGAGGGAGAGATTGAGGCGTCTCCTTTTTGGGGAGGCAAGAGGTCAGAGCGTGCACCATGAGGCCATCTGGCTAAGTCTGTGATGTGACTGTCCTCTTGCCAGTTGGGAGAGTGGCCACGGCAGAGGGGCACATCGGCCAAAGCAGTAGCATCTTCAGGGCAGAGATTTACTGTATGGAGCAACTGGAAACCCGCCCTGGGACTTCTCGTTGGCTGCTTCCTGAATCCATTTTGGTTCGGTTTGGATTTGCATTTGTAAAGAGGCAGGCCCCCAGTAGTGCCGGATTGCTTCGAAGAGCTGAAGGCAGCGTGTAGTTTGTGTTCGTTCCCGCTGTGCCGGCTCTTCCGGGTCTGGTAAGGGAACGTCATCGGGAATCGTTGCTTCCTGGAAGATGCACCCAAGCTTCAGACTCGGGAGCTGGGAGTCGCCGCTAGGGTGATGTCCAGGTTCCACACACATAGCTGTGAGGCCTGAGCTTCAGGGGGTCAGGTCACTGTCCCAGGGCCACAAGCCCATCAGGGGCTCTGCAGGGAACGGCGTCCAGCCCTCGTGTTGCCCCAGGTTAGGGGTCAGACTGCCTGGACGTGGATCCCAGCCTCACTCTCGGCTAACAGTGCAAGCCTGGGTGAGTCCTTTATCCTGTCTGCGCCTCAGTCTCCCCGTCTGTACAGTGGGGATGTTAGGAGAATCTTCCCGTGGAGTGGTTTTTTTGTTTGTTTATTTTAAGATTTTATTTATTTATTTATTTGAGAGAGTGAGTGAGAGCGAGCGAAGCAGAGGGAGAGGAGGAAGCAGACTTCCCCCTAAGCAGGGAGCCCGACATGGGGCTCAATCCAGGGACTCCGGGATCATGACCTTAGCCAAAGGCAGATGCTTAACTGACTGAGCACCCCCAGGCACCCCTGGTGGAGCGGTTTTAAAGATCTGAGTAGGACGAATGAGACTTGAATTAAGAGAGTCCATAAGTGTCCACACCTTATGCACGATCTGGGTGTTAGCGCTGCTGTTAGTCCCGCCCTCTTGGGGCCCGTGGCCCCGTATGAAGCCTCTGTATTTTGAGCTGTGCCTGCACTAGGTGCAGGATTAGCCTGAAAATAGTGCTGATACACGTTGACATTCCTTTCCAGGTGTTTTCCAAAGTGGGGACGGTGAAGAGCTGCTCTATTTCCAAGAAGAAGAACAAAGCAGGTATTCCCTACAAAAGCACAGTCAGAAAGGACGATTCCAGAAGAACCTGTGGCTCTGGGCGGGGGGGGGCAGTGAGGGTAACTCTCACTTGCTCATTTGGAAGGTCCTCACATTCTCACGTGGCCCACCTAAAACAGTCCCTCTTTGTCTGTCCCCGGAGACTCCCAGTGTTCCGTGGATGCGGCCGTGCACATCAGGGTCTTCTGAATTTAGACTCTGCCTTGGGCCTTGGACTGTCCCCTGGTCTCAGAGCGTTTGATGGTCCACCGGTGTTAACACTGTACCGTAGCAGAAGCCTCTCCCTCCTCCCAGCACCTCTGGGCTCTGGAAATGCCCTAAAGAAGAGCAGGGAGAGACTGATCTTGGGCTTTCCCATTTCCCTTCCAAGAGAAACAACCCAGACGTAGAACCTCTGGAACATTCCACTGAGCCATTCTCCGGGAGCTACAGAGCTGGTTTGGGACATAAGACAGGCAGCTAAGTACCACGTGAGCAATGTGAAGGCTCTGTCGCAGGGGCTTCAGGAAAGGAGGTGACCCCTGACGTCCAGGCAGCGAGTTGGGCTGGTAGAGGGGCCGCCAGCTCTGCCTGGGGCTGCCCCTGTGGGTTGTAGGGTCACTGCGTCCCTCTCCGCCATCAGATGCTGCGGAGCCTACCTTTCGGCCCTCGGGAGCACCCCTCAGCGTACTTTAGAAAGAGTTACCTGATCTTTCAGCGCTTTCCAGTATCCGCCGAAGAAACCAGTGTTCACAGCTGTCACAGGGTGGTGCCGCCTGGCAGCCAACAGATCTGTCTGAGGCTCCCTTCTGTGGCCCACAGAGCCACGTGTGGACAGTTTCATGGACTTTCTTACGGCGTCGGTGCCTCATTTGATAGCATGGAGTTGCGAATGGAAACGCAAGCAAGCGGTCCACGCCATAGGGGCTCGGGTCTTACGAACAGTACAGTAGAGGCAAAGATGGGACCAGTGAGCAAGTTGAAGGTGGTGAATCTCGATCCTCATTTGGACCCATCAGACTTGAGCAAGCCCTCTGAGTTCAACTGTGAAAAAAACGAAAGAATAAAATTAATATATCTGTATAACATTGCAGGGGATGGGGGGAAGGAGGCACGCGTCACATTCTGTGCCATAGGGCAAGGTGTAGTTAGACAAATGCCCTGTAAAATACCGGCTGCCCCCCCCCCCCAATTATATGTATGTATGTAAAGCGCATAGATCTCAAGTCGGGAAGCAAGTGTTTCCGATAAACTTTTGCGATCTCCCTTGTTCTCTGAACCCTTGCTACTCACTGCCTTAGAAGTAGGGGACCAGAGAGGTTTGCATAATGCAGCCGCCCTCCCCGTCTGAACTTGGTATCTGAAACCCAGGAGCAGCTGTAATCGGATGGTCAGAAATACCTGTAAAGGGGAGGGGGTGGGGGGATGGGTTAGCCCGGTGATGGGTATTAAGGAGGGCACGTACTGCATGGAGCACTGGGTGTTATACGAAAACAATGAATCATGGATCACTACATCAAAAGCTAATGATACATGGTGACTAACATAACATAATAAGATAAAAAAAAAAGATCTGTAAAGGGGAAGTCTTTGGTGCCTTTTGCTTTTCACGCACATATTCATCTTCTGCGTTGTGTGTGGAAGCAGGGGGATGGCCTAGGTAGATGTTGAGCCGCTTGTCATAGTGATGGTCATCCCTGTTCATTCCTTCTCCCTCCCAAAGGCGGAATTCTATTATGAAGTTAATTATCATGTCAATCATCTATTAATTAATAGTCAACTGGGCCTCAGGTGACGGCTATACAACTTTGTTGGCTGGTTCTTCAAGATGACTGGTAATACATGGCGAGCCAGGAGCGGAAACCTTTTTGGGAACGAAGGAGGGGTATGAGGAGGAGAGAAAAGAGTGGACATCCAGGGGCCCTCTGGAGCCGTTGCACTTGGGCTCATGCTTTCTTCGCTTTCTTGCCCACCCACGTCACCCCTGTGATTTCTGCCTCTCTCCTTCAGGAGCGATGCTCTCCATGGGATTTGGATTCGTGGAATACAGGAAGCCAGAGCAAGCCAAGAAGGCTCTCAAGCAGCTCCAGGTAAGGTGGGGATTTCAGCCGAGGTCCTCGGAGGCACTTGCTAGGTAGTGGGGGTGGGGAGGGGGGCTCCCACCTGTCAGCGCTCCTGAAATTGAGCGGGAATGCAGACAAGTCCACATTTTTCTGGGCCCCTCACTTCCTCCAGTTCTCTAGGGAGGAGAGAACTGTGGCCCAAGAAAAATGAAGACCCCCTCCTCAGCACTCTGTCGTCACTGTAGTGTGTTCACTAATCCACAGCTCTGTGCCAGGTCTGGGGAAGATGGCAGAGCGGACCTCTGAATAAATACACAGAACCAGGTCATGAGCACTTGGATGGAAATGAAGCAGGCACTTTGATGGGCAGGGAGGGCTACTTTACGATGTATGGTCAGGGGAGGCCTCTCTTGAGGTGACAGTTGAGCTAATACCTAATGATAAGAAGGAGTCAACTACATAAAGATCTGGGGGGAAAGCAGTCTAGGAGGGGGGGAACAGCATGTGCAAAGGGCCTGAGGCAGGGACTCTAAGGTAGGAGTGAGCTTAGTGTGTTTGAGAGATACAAAGAGGCCAGTGTGGCAGAGGAGGTGTGGGGTGGGTGGTGCCTGGACCGGGATCTTGCAGGCCTTTTAACGACCTTGGAGTCCAGTTGTAAGGCAGTGAGATTTGATCAGAGGGCTTTGAGCACACCAGCGAAGGGACTCTTTTATGCTTCCAGACAGCCTCTCCAGCTGCTGTGCAGAGAGTGGATCATAGGGAAGCAGGTGGCATCATCCAGGCAGGAAAAGGTGTTGGCCTGGGCGGGGATGGAGGCAGTGGGGACAAGGGAGCTGAACTCCAAGGTGTTTGGCAGAGACTTCGCATCCTTTTCAGAGAAAAGAACAGTGCCTTCCTGCTGGGTCTGACGTGCAGAGTCAGCCCAGGGCCCTCGGGAGCAGGAGGGGAGCTGAACTGGGGCCCCAGGGAGCAGGACAGTCTGGGATTTGTGCCTCCCCAAAATGAGACAGGCCTCTGCTCGGAACAGTGTCCTCAACACTCTTCCCTGATGCCCCCCATCCCCAAGGCCTTTGGTGGCAGGGGCAAGGAGCAGTGCCCCCCTCCCCCCCACGCACCTTTTTCTTTCTGCAGACCTCCTTGCTCCCACTGTCTCTTGCCTTTCCCTCGTTCTGCAGCCAGAGCGCTCATGATCATGCCTCTAGATCAGGCTTCTAGACCCAAGTCCGTAGAAGGGCTTCAAGGGGTCCAGGGACCCTTTTAAGCCATTTTCAGAATGTCACGTGCCCGTGTGCACTGTACAAAGGAGGACGTGGCCTGCCTGGCATGAGGCTAGGCAGTGGGAAGGTAAAATAGAGTTGAATCCGGCCCAGTTTACAAGCCAGGGCGTGGCCGGCGGCACACCTTTCCCCAGCTCTTGTTCTTCCTCTGAGAGCTGCACCTGGGCCGGGCCCAGTTGGGCGGTTCTCAGTGTGGAAAGGACACGCATGCATACAGGGCCCCCTCCCAGTCCCAGCAGAGCTTCCCGTGCAGGGGAAAGGCCCCAGGGCTGTCGGAAATGCAGCAGGGCACGTAGCCAATAGGATTGTTTCTGTAGAATTTTGATGACCTTGGCTCGAGGCCACTTCCCGAAGGGCTGAGTTGGTTTTGGGTAGGATGATGGGGAGGTGAGCCCTCGGGGCCTCTGCTCTCTTTGAAAGGCTCTCTTGCTCTCCACCAGGGCTCACAGACTCAGATGCCCATAAGGGCCGGGGACTTGGTGGGGGGGGGGGGGCATCCAAAGGGACAGCCGCTTCTTGGCTTCAGCCAGTTACTGCCTCGTGGTGGGGCGGGTCGCAACCATACCAGATCTCTGGGCTTTGATTTGTTTGTTGTTTTTTTATTTTATTTTTTTTTAAGATTTTATTTATTTGCGAGAGAGAGAATGAGAGACAGAGAACATGAGAGGGAGGAGGGTCAGAGGGAGAAGCAGACTCCCTGCTGAGCAGGGAGCCCGATGCGGGACTCGATCCCGGGACTCCGGGATCATGACCTGAGCCGAAGGCAGTTGCTTAACCAACTGAGCCACCCAGGCGCCCCTGTTTGTTGTTTTTTTAAAGAGACACCGGAAGTCCAGCTTTGTTACCAGATGCCATGTGGGCCCGTCACTGGGCTTGAGCTCTGCACATTCAGTGCTCCGTTCTCTGCCACATAATGCAAGATTCTGTAAAACACCCCGCACTGGTCCAGTGTTACCTCCCCGTGTGCACACATACGTGCACATTGCCACAAAGAATTGTTTACACGAAACTACGCGTGGTGTATTTTATGGGAGATTTAAGGGATTTTAGAGGATAATTTTGTTAATACGCCAGTTTTGCCTTAAGGGACCCACGTGAGAACCTAGCTTTCCTTGCAACTCCTCTGTGGTTTAGAAATTATTTTTTTAAGCATACAATCTAACCTGAACTCCCGCTCTGCAAGCCAGACCGAAGGGGCTTCCTTTGCCTGCAGATGCTCATAAACGATGGAAAATTTTGTGTCCCTCCAGTGGCATAAAGGTCAAGGCCCACGCATGGCTCGAGAGGACATTGGAAGGCTGGGTCTCTGTGACCACCAGCTGCTGCCTGGGCTCAGCATGAGCCATTTCCAGGAGAAGCTGTTCTCTGTCCTTGATTCCAGCTGGCCCCTCTGCCTGGAAACATCCTCCCTCTGAAATTTCCTTTCCCCTCTGCGGAAGCCCTCTCTGGTGAAGGGCAGGGGTACGGGTGAGTATTTCGGGGAGGACAGAGTGACAAGCTGTGTTGTCTTCTCTCTTAGGGTCACGTCGTGGACAGCCACAAGCTGGAAGTGAGGATCTCCGAACGAGCCACCAAGTGAGTCTTCGGTGCCCCGTCTTTGCTTTGACCTGGGGCAGTCCCTTCTGCTCTGGTGCTGGTTCCCCAGCCCCTTGACATGACCCCCCGCCCGAACCCCTCACCATCTGGGACTCTTCCTAATGAAGCTCGTGTCCCATTTGCCAACTCTGAGGCCCGTTTCTGTGAGGAACTGGGACCGCTCCAGTCCTTTGAGTAAATGCTTAACGCACATTTATTATCATCGAAGGAGCAAGAATGGGAAAAACAAGCACGTCCTGCTCATCTTGGTGGTATAAATAACCCAACAAAGAGTTGCAAGTTGCTGGGGCTTTGGACGAATGAGAGAAGCAATAAAAACTTAGACGTCCACCTTTATAGGGCTTTCTTTCTCAGAGCTGGACGACAGAGCCCAGAGACAGCCTCCAGTCAATTCGAAAGAGATTCAGTAGGTGTTAAAGATGGAGACAGACCAGTCTACCCAGTGACCAGTTTCCTGAAGTGGTGGGGTTTTCTCTAAGAGTTTGGTTTTGTTCCTATCCTTCTACCCGCTCGTACGGCTAAATGAGCTGATGCCGCTGTGCAGCTTCTAACAGTGCCCGGCACACAACGTGCCCAGCGTAAGGCGTTGCTGTCTCGTCGTGATCATCTACCTACCTCAGGTGATGAAGTGACTGCCTCTAACAGTCCTAGGGCTGGTTTAAGATAGTTGTTTGGTAGTTGTCAGCAGGTTGGTCATTTGTTGTGGTCGTTGAGCAGATGATCCGCCAGTGGCCGGCCTGTGGCCGCTGCTTTTCCTTCCTTCTCTCTCTGTTTTCAGACTACTCGTGGATGCAGCCCCAGGCTACCTCTGGTATTGTTCGCCCATCCCGGTCTGTGCCGTGTGCGCATCATTGGGATGAAGGCGGCCTGGTACGGGACGGGTTCCTGAGCTGTGATGGAACAGTGGGTTTCCAGACATTGGGCCCCACAGCTTTGGGTTCTAGTCCCAGAGCCGTGTGACCTTGGGTGGCTGACTTGGCCTGAGAAGTAAAATGTGCCCACCGGAGGTTGTGCATGAAACGCCTGGCATATGCGGTGCCCATGAGCGCTCAGCCGGCGATCTTCCTTTTCCATACCCTATCTACAGGGAGTCAAGCTAAAGTCACCTTGCGAGCTTTCAGTGCCCAGCCAGTGTTGATTGAGTCGTTCTTTTATTCAACAAAAAATCAGAGCCCACTGTGTTCCAGATCCTCTGCCCAGTTGCCAGCAATGGAGTTTCCATGTGGTGCTCACATTCTGGGGCAGCGTATTTGGTAGAACCTTCTACAGTGGTGGGATTCTTCTCTGATGTTCTACATCTGTGCTGTCCAATATGGCAGCCACTTGCTGCATGTGGCATTTGAACACTTGAAATGGGGGGAGTGCAGCTTGTTATCTATTGGCTGCGTAACAGAGTATCCCAAACCCAGCTTAACACAGTAAACATTTATTATCCCATGGTCTCTGTGGGTCCAGAACTTGGGAGCAGCTTAGCAGGGTACGTCTGTCTCCGCGTCTCTTGAGGTTACCATGATGATGCTGGCTAGGGTTGCAGTCTCATCTGAAGGCTCCCCAGGGACTAAAGGATCCACTTCCAAGATGGCGCCCTCACAGGGCTGTTGGCAGAAGGCCTCAGATCCTCACCACATTGGCCTCTCCCTGGATTGCATGAGGGTCTTTACAGCCCATTTCTCACAGAGCCAGTGATCCAAGGGGCAGCAGGAAGGAAGCGACAGTTTCTTTTACGACCTAGTCTCAGGAGTCACTGTTGTGTCTGTCTTCCATTGGTCAGAGAGCACGGGAGGGGACTCCATGAGGGCCTGAATACCATGAGGCAGGGATCATGGGGGACCATCTTGGAGGCTGGCTCTCCCGGCAACTGAGGAGTCAAATTTTGAATTTTGCTTTCATTTAAATTTAACTGGCCATGTGTGGCTTTTGGCCACTGTATTGGACAGCACAGCCCTAGAGGACAGACCGTAAAGGGAAACATGAGCAAATATATACTGTGCGGTTAGGTGGTGGCGAGTGCCAGGAAGGAGAACAAAGCCGGGAGTGGGGGTGAGTTGCTGTTTTAGGGGCGATACTTAGGGAGGGCCTTTGAGGAGGTGATGTGGAGCAGGTCTGAAGGAAGCGAGTTGTAACAATCGTCTTCACGACAACTGCCACGATTTATGGAACGTTTAGCTCATGGCGGGCACCATACAGAGTGTTCGACAGGTCCTCAAACCGTATGACAAGGCCGGCAATATTATTAAGGCCATTCTGCAGTTGAGGAAACGGAGGCCCAGAGAGGCCAAGTTACTTGCCCAAGATCACTCAGATCCTGTGTGGCCAACTTGGCTTCCACACCCCGATCATCAGCTCCCTGCTCACAGTCCTGCCCTGCTTTGATGCAGGTGCGCAGGTGAGGTGGGGCCACGTTGGAGAGGGCCCTGAGCCCCGGATCAGTTTCCTAACCCCATCCCGTTTCCATGGCTAGAAGCTGCTCCAGGGCCTCGGGACGTTGGTCCTCGGGTGAACAGTGGAAAGTCTCAGATAAGCCCTTTGGACCATCTGGAGTCTTGCTGCATCCAGAAAGGGACCGTGGAGACTGGATATGGGGAGGAACTGGCCTCACCCTCGTTAGGGTTCCTCTCTCCAGTCCTGCTGGCCCCTGGGTCTCTCAGATGATGGGCAGGAGGGACCCAAAGGTGGGCAGGTGGGCTGACTGGGTGTCCATAGCTGTTTTGAGAAGACGGTTAGGCTCCGTGTCACCCACAGGAGACTACCTCCCTCCCATTTCATCTCTGCCTCATCCACAGCAACTCCTTGAATCCCTCACCTGCACAGAAGACCAGAGTGTTGGCTCTTGGAGGGAGGGCAGGGGAGTCCGTGGAGGGCAGCAGCTGCCTACACCCTGAATAACATGAACCCTTTCCCCCGACCATCCAGGCCAGCTCTGACATCCGCTCGGAAGAAACAAGTTCCCAGAAAGCAGACAACGTCAAAGATTCTGGTGCGCAACATCCCGTTCCAGGCTGACAGCCGGGAGATCCGTGAGCTCTTCAGGTGAGAGGCGCTGGTTCGGTCCAAGGGGCAGTGTGTGGGTGGGGAGCCTGCCGGAGCCTTGGAGAAGGTAGCCTTGGGGTCCTTTGATGGCTCCGCCAGAGGCCCAGTGGTCTTTCAGAGGTCATCTTTCAGCTGCCTTTATCTCCCTTGCACTCGCGCACTGCTTTCCAGAGCAGTGTGCAGAAAAATCTCGAAGCAGCCGGGCCTCCTCCTCCTCCAGAGGTGAGACAAAAAGAAAGGGAAGCTGATCTCCATCCCCACCCACAGCAGGATGGGGCGGGAGCCCACGTGGCTGAAGCTTAGCTCTACCCACCATCTGCCTGAAATTCTTCCACCCGAGGCACTCCTCTGGTCTAAGCCAATGGTTCTCCTCCTCCTTGGTATTTTCGAGTCACTTGGTGACTTTTATAAACGTACCTTTGCTCAGGCCTCACCCCCAGGTAGCTGGATTTTGTTGGTCAGGGGCGGGGCCCAGACACTGATATTTTGATCAGAGCTCCTCAGGGGGTTCGGGCTCTACTGACCAGCTGGAGTTGGGCGCCGCTGTCTACATTGCTACTTACGGAGAAGCCATTTCGAAATAAGGATGAATCACCTGCATAGATCATGCCGTCCAGCCGCAGATGCTAGCATGGGGTCAAAAATTTCGGGTTCTGGGACCTGGAAGAGCAGGCTGGGGGGCGGGGGGCGCAGCTGGAAGGCCCGGTGAGCCCATGCAGAAAGGCAGGTAATCAGACCAGTTTTCCCCCATTTTGAAAGAGAAACCAGCAATCGGATTTTTGGGGGGGCATAAGTTGGCAACTAATTTACTTTTCTGAAAATAAACATGGTACAGGACAGAGTCTCTGCCTGTGGCCACATACAGCCCAAGAGCCACCACTTTGCAACCCCTGTGCTGATACATTACACTGTTGAGCTTTTGAGGTGAATGAGGTCCTGCCTAGAACCAAGCCCTGGATCAAACGTCTCTGGAGGACGTCACAGGAAGATGTTTAAAGCCCAGGCCCTCCCCAGGCGAATGCTGGGTGGTGCAGAGAGAGACCATCTAGCCCTCAGAATGTAACGGCAGATGGAATTAGCCCCAACCGAACAGATAATTTGGGGGGGGCCCCCAAAACGTACAGCACCCTGGCCTGCGGGATCGAGAGAGCTAGGTCCCCGTTAGAATGATCACTTAGCATCTTACTCATTAGGTCAACTTACCGATGTCAACTGTGGATGCAAAATGCAAATCCTGTATTTTGGGGACCAGAAAGAAGTATCTTTGTATGCAGTCTGCCTCTCTGCACTCATTTGGTTTAAAGGATAGGGAGCCATTTATGGGATTTGCTTCAAAAGTCGCCATCCCTCTCGTCTCTGTGCCCCATCGTCCACTAGTGTGCAGTTCATTAACAGGCATGGTTAGCGGGAGCTGATGCAGACGCCTACCCTGCTGGCTTCTAGTAGCTGAGCCTTAGCTGTGATCCCGGGTCCCCCGCGTCACAGCAGCAGCCTGGTGAGCTGGGGTCACAACCTGGGGGGGACGTTTTCCATTTCCCCACACCCAGGGAGACGAGAGGAATACGTGAGTGAGGCCGTTGCAAGAGTCCCTATCCTCAGCCCCACGCGCCTGCTTGTTTTCACATGCTTGTGCTTTTTAAAGAGAGTCCAATTTAAGAACTGCCAGATCAAAACGGGATTGCTGCAAACAGCACGTGTTGATCAGGAAATAGTATCCCGCCGAAATGACAGTTCCGCTTGTTTCCACAGTGTATTTAGGATGACATTTATCCAGGGAAACAAAAGACCCAGACAGAAAGGGAAAACGCTTCGTTTGATCTCTTGTTTTATATTTATTTTGAGAAGACAGGGAATTAGTGTCCACCGAACGTAATTATGCGCGGCGTCTCTTCTCCCTGCCATTGTTGTGATGATGGTTTCCGCCAGCCCTTGGAAATGATCGGAAAGCCAGTCTTGGAGGGCTCACCTTGCTTTGTTGTGCACTCGGGCTGGGGGTGGAGGCAGTTCCGAGCGGCGGGCAGCAGGGGTCGCTGTGAGCCTTCTCGGGGCTAAGCTGGTCCGCGAAACCACAGACCCGATTTCCAGACAAAGCCAGTGGCCGGCAAAGGTCAGAGCCAGGGGAGGATTTCAGGATTGAGGGGAACCAGTCTGGTCCATTTCTCGCAGGCAGGTTTTGCGCGTTTGTCCTTCCAGGTGTAATCAGAATCCCAGCTCCTTCCGATGGAGCGCTCACTGTGTGTTGGGCCCCAGCTGTGGGTCTGCCGGTCCCATGTCTTCTCCTTTAAGCTGCGCAGCCGTGCTGCGGTGGAGGGATGCTGTTCCCCGTTTTGCACCCGGAAGGATGCTGGAGACCCGGGCACGTGAAGCATCCTGCCCGGGACCCACAGCTGAGCCAGGGCTGGGAATTCAGTGGTCTGCCCCAGAGCCGTGGCTCGGAACCACTCCTCTCTGCAGCCTGCTCTCCTTCTCCCGGGTCTGGAAGGACACTGCCCCCGAGATCATGTCAGCGGAAACACTATCCCGTGAACATATGGTTCGTACCGGCCATTGTGCTAGGTGTTGGGCATACAGCCGTTTCAGGAGAGATGGGCTCCTCCCTCGAGGGCTTCAGTGTCTGTGAGGGACCAGGGAGCAAAGCGACAGTGACAGTCGGACAGTGACACTCGTGGTGTGCAGGAGTGAGTGTAGGGCCGTGGGAAAGCATGGTCAGGTCCTCAAGAGCACCCGCCGGGAGGTGGCAGCTCACCCGCCCTCCCCAGCCTCCGGGGGCCCTGCCCGTGGACTGGGGCAGCAGCTTCCCAGCCAAGGCAGCATTTGCCTGCGCCTTCCCTGGAGGCCAGCAGCCTTAAGGTCGGGCCCAGCCACACCACACCGCAGCCCCTTGAACCCAGCCGCGACGGGGCCCAAGGGGGCGCTGCGGATTCACGTCCCTGCAGGGTCGTCGTCGTCGTCGTCGTCGGGGACAGTTCGAGGCCCGCCCTTTAGAAAAGTCAGAGTAGACACGGCAGTGGATTGGGAGGCGGCACTTCTCTGCCACCTCCCTTCTGGGCCTCAGTTTCCCCTGGCACAAAATAACAGTAGGAATACTACTGCTAGCGTATCCTGCAACGTACGACGAGGATGCGGTGAAAACGTTATTGTTTATCATCATCAAGTCAAGTTTTCCAGCCCATCCTGTGCCGGGCACTGCTTTGCGTTAGTACAGGTCTGTTTCCCACAACAGCCCTGAGGCGGAGGGTTGCCTCCCTTTCCCAGGGAGAAAATCCGCTCCCCAGCCCAGATTCCCACCCCTGGGCAGCTGCCGGCTCGCCCGGAGTGCAGCTCCCACGCCATGTGACTGCCCCTGGGGATTTTGCATGCGGGGCATTTAATACAGGGCCTGGTGTGGGGTCAGTAGTTGATAAACACTAGCTATGATTATCGAACGGCACGAAAGAGGTGGCACCAGGCTTGGAACCAGGGCAGGGCTGACTCAACAGAGCCTATCTGACAGCATTGCAGAGCCTCGGCGGTCCTCTGGGGCATTTTCTCAGTGTTTCTCCTCCTTTGCTATGTCCCTCCTGCCCTGTGATCGTCTCCCCCTCCAGCTAGTTCCAGGCTGGAGAGAGTCAGTACTGGGGGACACAGGCCTCTCCACCCCAAAAAGGAAACACGGAAGACAAACGGGGATTCTCTGGAGTGTGCGAGTGTGTGCATGCATGCAGGGAGCAGACGCCTCACCCCACAGCCAGAGCAGGGCTGGAAATGGCCCCCCGGCTCACCCTGCTGTGTGCACAGCCTTAAGCCAGCATCCGTTCCAGAAGAAGGGGGGACCAGCTTCCCCTCCTATCTGGGTTTGCTCTGGGGAAAGTAGGCGTGTGTGTGGACCTCTGCGTCTGGGGGATGCTTTGCCCACCTCCATTGGAAAGCCTGGATTTGAAGGTCCCTGGGACAGAAGGTGGTGTAGAGAACAGCCCCACAGATGGGGCCTAAATCTGTACCCCACCTGAAGCTTGTGCATTCACACCCCCGCCCCCCCCCTGCCCCCCCACCCCCCCACCCCGCATCCTTACGTACAAGCGCGAGTGCAGAGCCAAGGCATTTGATGGACAGGTCTTGTTCCCACCCAAGTTTCAGGGGCTGGGCCCGAGATGGCACAGACGCCTTGGGATCGGGATGGCTAATGCTCTCGGCACTCAGGCGGTGTCGGGCAGCAGGCTCACCACATCCCACGTGCGAGAGCTGCTTGCCCACCTCCTAGAGGAGGAACCTGGGGCCCCGAGAGGTACAGGGTCCGTTCCTAGAAGGACCCTCGGCTTTACCTGTTTCTCTTGTACCCCATGGGCGCCTTGGTTTGGGCTGCTCAGTTCCTGAAAGGCAGTGAGCCTCCGGGAAGGAGGTTCTGCCAACAGGGCTGGCTTTGTGAGCGTGTGACCGTGTGGCCCCCTGAGGCCCCATGCTTGCTTCAGTACTCTGTTGTCACCATCCTGAAATTCTTACTGTTTGGACGAGAGGCCCTAAGTTTTCCTTTCACACTGGGCCCTGCAAATGATGTAGCCAGTCCTGCCTGCAAGCCCCTGGAATGGTGCCTGGCACACAGGAAGACGCTTCGTGCCCGCTGGAATTAGCGATTTTAAAATAGGCCTTCAGCTCACCCCCAGCCAACGTGGCTTGGCCTGTCCTAGTCTCTCAAAACTCCCAGCCCACCTCACAGCCACCCTTGGAGAGCTGTCCCTGTGGTGGTTTAGTGTCCCTTCCCCCCCCACCCCCCCACCCCCAGACTATAATCTCGGACACTTAGGTCGCTGCTCTGTCCACAGGCCCCTGGTATGCAGAGGGTGCTCGATAAATGGTTGCTAAGCACATAGATACACTGTGCACCCTTGCTTATGGAATCCTAATAAAAACAGGAGGTGTTATAAGAATAAAAAAAAAAAATGACAGGAGGTGTGAGGCACAGAGAGGCTAGGGAGTTTGCCCGGGGCCACACAGCTCTGCAGGGGCACCACCCGTTCTCTCTC